TTTCTATGGCTAATATTTTTTAAATGTTAGATGGGATTCGTTATTATGTTTGAATATTGCAATGTCGTCTACATTATTCCAAATGCTCATAAAAAATGTACTAGACTATTTATCTTAAACGTTTCTTTTAATTCAAATGAAAAAAGTGGGTAAGCTGGTGTCACCCTGCTGTACATTAGGTGTATAGAAATTAGAAAGTCTCCGTAATAGATGGTATTAAATTCAAATTCAATGATATAATAATATCATTGCACACGAAAATTTATTCTGAACGGAGACGGTAGGTCAGTCTAGGATATTTCACATTGGTATTACTACTATTATTAATGTGGTAGCCGGTGAGTTGAATTAATATTATTCTTAAATTATGGGTGATGCAGGAAAAACATTATATTTACTTATTTTACTTTTAGAACAAAATTACAACAAAATAACTAAAATCGTTATTCTTTGTGTTAATATGTAATTTCCTCGTTACAAAATTAACTTAATATGTTGAACCTTGTTTTCAATTTTCAGTCCTTAGCTATAAAAGTTAAAATTGTAATATATTTTTAACTACAAAATAATTTTCAATTTTCAATTTGAGAAATGTTGTCAAAATTTAAACTTTAAATGATCATAATCATAAAACAAAAACGTGCCCACGTATTTTTATATTTTTATATATTTATACATATTTTTTTTAAACTGCTATTGTAACAATAAATCAAGTGACTTGCATTAAATTGTCATTTTTTTTGACAATGTTTTTGACATTTATAGAAAAAAAAACTAAAATTGAAAATGCCCGTATAAACAGATCAAAACGAGTCAAAATATTTTTGAAATTGTCACAAGTATATGAATTGATAAAATAAACATATAGTGTGAATTTCAAGTAGGTATCTATAATTATTCGTTATTGAATTACAAAAAAAATTCAATGCACCAACTATAGATTCACTTTCCTGTACCAGAAAAGTTGCCATTGAAGAAAATCAAAGCACTTTTATTGCCTCAAACCGTGATGACAGACACAAAAATGAATTTAAAAAAAAAATTAAAAACACACATCATTGTAAAATCAATACATTCATCGCTCCTGTCAGAATCTAAAAATACTGAGAAATCTCTAAATATATTATAATTTAAGCCTTAGATATTAAAACAATCTTATTAATTTTTTAACAACATTACAACTTTTATTATAGGTACATAAATCAAAAAATAATTTTGATAAAATCTGTAAATAAAACAAATAAATATAAAATAGTTTTATTCATTTTTCCATGTCTAGAAAATATTCCCTATTTTTTCCAAAAATTTTTAATTAGTTTTCCCAATATTTATAATTTAAAAAATTACTGTGCATTTCCTTCTAACTTTTATACACCACAAAAAAATGGATGGATTTTGCTATCAGAAGCCATTTTTAAATATAAATATTTTAGCATTTTTATTACTAATCCAAAAGATGATGGCATACCAAAAAAATAATCATTATTAAACCAATACAATCATCACTTCGCTCATAATCTAAAACTATTAATTATTTTTTATTGAAGGTACTTTTTAATTAAATAATGCGCATTTTTTTTATATGTCCATGAACTATCATGCTATTTTTACTATAATGCATGTGATGGACATACTTATGTTTTTTATTTATTTTTAGAGATTGTATTTACTCTAATAAAATATTTCTAAAAACCAAAAGTGTCCGTGAACTCGTTTTTAGGAAGACTTATTACGATTTACGTCTTAATATTGTATCATACCTCTATTTATTAGAAATCTGAATTCATGCATAAAAATATAAAATAGATCATAGGTACTAGAAAACTCTCAACGTTTATTTAAGAAATTATAAAAACGAATTTTCTAAATATATGTTTTTGGTAACGTATAATTTTTAAATTTACTTACCTAACTAAGAAACTATAAAAACCCGAAATACTTAAATGTTGATAATTTACACCAATTTTCATAAGTACTTAGTGAATGTACTTTTCAAAAAACAAATATTTATTTTCAAATTCATTATAATATAATGCAAAACTTGATTTCTGTGTACATTTAACATTTGCATTTGTCCAACAAAAAAGGAATAACTATAACACAACACTACAGAATAAAGCATTAAAAAATAATAATAAATATGATTAAAAGAGCTTTTGTATTGAAATGACTGGTTTATTTATTTAAATATGCCTATATACATACATAAGAAATTAAAGAAAAAAGTTGATCTGCCTTTGACACCTTTTCACTTAAAATACCTATAAATATAATAAGTGCCTACATATTTTCGATATTCTTTAAATACTGTAAGGACAATTTTTGAGGAACCTTATAAATTGCATGCTTCTGCGGTATATTTAGGTTCATGGTATAAATAGCTTGTATTTTTGAGATTTTTTAGTTTCAGCGAGAACAAATTATTAGAAAACTTGTACTCAATGAACTTAGCTATTTGAACATTTTTAAGATTTTCATTCACTTACAAAATAATTTTCGATCTTTTATAATTTTGAAGTGATTTAATGTCAAGCGAATAAATTAAATAGTTTTTTATAGTTTTAAATAATTTATTTCTGATAACTCATTAGCTTATAATTAACTAATACTACTTATGTATAATTACCTACTAATATATTCAAAAATAATGCCTTCTATTGTCTCTCTCTCTAAAGTTGTGCAATAGATGTGGATCAGAAAAAATCTGTGTATTACACATTGTAAGAAATTTCCTGTAAAAAATATGCAAGATCATTGCCAATTTGTACTTAAAACCCTTCATTATATTTAATCGTTAACCGCGTACATTTGTGTTTGACTTATTTGTGTAAAGCAACGTTGATGACGTATACAAGATAGGCCACCGCATGGTGAACTAGACCAATATGACGTCAAAATAATATTTTACACACCTAATTCACGACTCATTGAATAATATTTATTTCACCGGATATCTACTAAATTGTTTTATCATTCTTACTATATTAAATCAACATAACTAACTATTATTTGACAAAAACATTTTATTTTGACGTAGCTAAATATTTATATTTTATTCATAGATTATAAAATTAGTAGTAGGTACTTCAAAATACTTAAACAGCGAAACCTCATTATTACGGAAACACTAGGAATTAATATAAACAAAATAAAAAATCTTTTATGTACAGTTATTATAGTATAAACAATGATTTCGCTGCATATAAATGTTTGTAAAAATATGGAATAAAAATGAGAAATATGCACACAAAATGATCAGATGATGACTAGTGTTTACTTAAAACCGGAATTCTGTAGCAATATGCCAATATACAAAAATACTGAACATAGATCAATATTTATGAGGTAAAAATATTTGATTGACTATTGAAAAAAAATATATAATAAAGAAAATAAACATTAAACATTTTTGTAAAACATCAAATGAGAGGAATAAATTAAAAAATAGCTGAAGATTCGATAAGTGATATTTGATTAAAATTGAAATCTAACTAAATTGTTGAGTGTTAAAAAACAAAATTATATGATCAATATTGCTAAAATAAAATTAGCTTTCCATGCTATATTTCTTGTAAATTTCTTAAAAATATGCAAATGATTCTCATGACTATTAATTGTATTGTGTTTGAAAAAAAATTATTATTATTTAATACTGTTTGTAATAATTTCTTCATTTTTGTAATGGTCTCTAGCCAGTTATTGTTACCGCTGGGTGTTAACTTCATCATGTCAATCATGTCAGTATAAATGTAAATCCTCAAACATGCTTATTGTAATATTTATTTATGATTGTATGTGTTAAAAATAAAAAAATAAAATTATTGTAACGGACTCGCGGATTTCACAGAACTTATTTAAATATGAAATATGAATATTCGAGAATAGAATCATGATTATTGAATAATAATGCTGGGTTATTGCGTTCTCAATCAAATATTTGATGATCAAAACAAAACTGTCAGCTTAAATGGAGCCAATAATAATCAAGTATATGTATATGGTACGTAAAATTGATATCTATGATGTCCCGTTATGCAGCCATTTTGTATCTGATGATAACAATCCAAGCCTATATGCAATAACCAATGAATAACCAGTGTATTTCAACCATGAACAGAATGTAATATATAGGTCCCTTTTAGACCATGCATGATTATGATAATCGTGGATCCGAGCTAACTATTACTAGAGCATCGAGGCAATCATTTTTCGTGCCTCGTCTATTCACTTTATGAATAAGACATTTTATAACATTTCTTTGAGGATGCTAAGATTTTAAATACATTTAAATGTCGAACAAAACAATCCGCTATGCTCCTGAATAACTGCTGCATAATGACAATAAGAACGCCTCATTATTTACCTAATTAATTTATATTATCAATCATAAATGCAATAAATATTTTTCAAAATTAATTGGAATATCAGTTAATAGATCCGTAATTTTATTTTTATCTGTACAGATAATTTATAGTTTCTTGGTTACCCTCATATTTCTTTCTAAATAAAAAATACTAATTAGGTACAAATAAAAATAATTAATGTCAACGAAACATTTTATACTCTAAAATTAAAAACTATTCAATACTATTTATAAAGCAAACTATAAATTCCAAATTATCAAACAAGAAAACTTCGACGAGTGTATATTACATAAATTATGTCAAACATATATTATCAGCTCTAAATTATTAAAATTAAGTTGAACCCAATTGCTCTCGGTCAGCATGGTATTTCAAAACGTAATTATTAGCTCTAAAAATATAGACTAAGTGACTAATTTTCAACATGCTATTGTCATTAGTATTATAATATATGTTTGAACTTTTCTGACCTTTGTTGAAGCGAACGCTTGATATACAAGTTATTAGACATGAATAGTGTAATCTCTATCGTTGCCCTATAAAGAATATTAACAACTTATACACATATTCAATAATACACAATTAAAATAACTGATAATGATAAACTGATAACTGTCTATTTATTTAGATTGCTATAAGAATTTGTTTTCAGTTCCCGACTATTGCTCCAGCATTCACATTAATATTTAATATTTACATAAATACTAAAAAGTGCGTCTCTGACAGTCATAAGTAATTTTTTTGTATTGAATAGAAAGGTTCACTAATCGTGATTATTTTTTTTCGAATATGGCGAGTATAGATGCTTGTTTATCGGTTACACAAAAAATACTCAAACAAAAGAAGGTAAGCAAATATTTTTTTTTTAAATACATTCATCAATAATATTAATTTGATGAGAAATTTTTATTTAATATTTTATTGGTAAGAACATGATTTAGGTAGGTACCAATGTGATATAGGTACCTAATCTATTTCAATACATACAGAATTGTTTGACAAACATTAGTTTATATTTTTAAATATGTAAGTAAGAAAATAAATTTATTTTTTTTATTTATGTATTTTATTTTAGCAGGTACCCACTTTTTAACAGAGTACCAATATAGTCTACATTTTGATATTCAAACAATAAAAATCAGTCGATGTGCTAAGAAAATCTTAAACTGTTAGCCATTTTTCCATGGATGTGCTTTTTAAAACTTTACGAATTTTAATTGAAATAGTTTATCATTAATATTTTCCACATTTCAAACGAAATAACCCTCCACTGACACTTATTTATGTGGTCTCAACGTTTAAAGTACCTATACAATAAAATAACTTTAAATAGTGAGTCCATACTTCCCTATACCTCTAAATCGTTATTAGAATATTAATCTCAGTAGATATTTTATATAGATTTTTAAATAAATAAATAATTTTTTCCAGACTTGCAGAAAACTTTATAGTATTCAACATCTATTGTCTAAAAGAAACCAGTCATCGTTATCACAAAATGACCCTGAAAAGGTAAATATTTAAATTTATATCACCAAACACCACTATCTCGGATTAGTAACCATAACACCATGATATATCTTATACCCGGCACCATAAATAATTAAGACGGAGACAACACATGTGGGTATAATATCCTCTTAACAAGATCAATTAGCCTGATCATTTGTTTTCGTCACACGTGGGATATAGAAATATTCAGAGATGCAATGTAACCATACATCAAAATTATTAATAACTAATCTTTAGTTTAAATTCTAGATATTACGTATCATTGGTAGAATATAAAAATGTTGTCATAAATCATAGACAAAGCCAAAATTTGAAGAAACTTACGAGTTGATTAAATAAGATAAGATATTTTCACATAGGATATTTTTATCCTCTTCTTTACTTTCTTAAAAACAGTACATTTTCAAATAATAATCTATAATTTAAAATTTTTGAAAATATTTTAAATATTTTTTTTTATTGGTCTTGAAGTTATAGAAAAAATCTGCTTTGACCACTAAGACTATATTAGTATTACATTTATATACATATAAATTGAAAAATGTTTAGATACGCATTAGTTTAATTTTACTTCCGACTTAAGACTTATAAATTATGAATATTTAACATTTCGGCGAGAGGGTCCATACACTTCGAATATTTCCTGATATATGACTGATTCATAATAAAAAATAAAATCAGCCCCCGTGTTGGTAAAAAAAATGGTACCCAATAATAATAAAATAATACAACATATTCCGAGTAAAAAAATATCTTTCTAATTTCTAATGGTTAACTGTCGACTTACAAATTATAAATTAAATAAAAAATACTCTAACTGCTAATGTTATCATAGTGTTAATAATGTATTACTAGTAAAATACATTAATTATTTCTCCATTTATTTATTGAATCCTATATGCACTTAATACAATGCTCAGGACCGTTTAGATTTCAAGTATTTGAACTAAATTCAATTCATTAAACTTTTTTAGGGTTTAGTCACCTTGACCGATTTCTTACTTGACCCTTCACATATTCCGATATTAAGCTAATATAAATATTACATAACTATAGGTTATATGTTATATATTATGTTACTTAAACTAAAATTTCAATGTATGGAGTTGCTATTTTTCCACAAATACTCTGAAAAAAATGATTAAATGTAAATTGTAACACCGTAACCCGAAATAAAGGACTTCTTGTAACAAGCCAATATTGATATTTGATGTAAATTTTTACTATAATATCTAACAATTTTTAAAGACTAATAAACATTTGATATTTAAGACTTTTTAAACAAATAGTAGGTAGTATGCATATAACATATAGTATAAACTCTTCCACCTTACAATTTGCATAGGCCCATTTTTTTAAATAGAATTATAGACGTGTTTTTATAACAATATTGTGGCAAGATCGGAAATAATCTACAATAATTTCGAATACATTATTCAATTATGTATCATTATGCATGCTTATTTCAACAGATATATTATAATATGCATTATAAGTATTTTTATTGCATCGATAACAACTACCTACATAATTCATATTTCAATGAACTCTGCTATCAATAATTGAATTAATTATTATGTATACACTATATACATGAATACAAATTACAAATATTGAAATATATAATAATAGTACTAAAACAATATGTAACTAATTAATTAAATGTACAAATCTAAATTTCACAACTAAATTATATTTTATTGAATCATAATTTAAATTGTCTGTCATACATACCTAATATTGTTATTTTATTACAAATATTTTTTTATATACGAGAGTATTTTAATAAATTTACAGTGTGTGAAACCAGATATCGATATCACATTATGCAAATCCACAAAGCTTAATGATAATGTCACCAACATTCTAAAAAGCGGCACTCAAATTAAGTTTGGCACTATTTTCACTGACCACATGCTCAAAATACACTATGACAAGCATGCAGGTGGTTGGCAGAAACCATACATCACACCCATGGAACATCTAAGCTTACATCCTGCAGCCAAAGTTCTTCATTATGCCACTGAGGTAAAATATATATTTAAATGTAAATGTTTAATCTTTACTTCTATACATTGGTGATCATTCAACAAGTAAGCAGATGCATTACTTGTTTAACAAAGTTTACAGAAATCTATTATAATATTAAAGGTCAAAAAAGTAATCTGCATGATAATCAATTTGCTATAATTAGTACTCGCCGTCTACTGTGTAACAAAATGGTGGAATAGTGCCGAACTTGTTTTATATTATTTATTATTTCAATTTGTAATATCACTAAAATTTAAATAAAGGGTATTGTGTAAATACCTACCCGGTTAAGATGACGTAACAGTGACATTTGTCGTCTCCATAATCTTACAAGTGCATAACATAGCAAATTTATACGCTCAACTGAACACGTATTAGCAAGTTAACACCAGCTTCGTTAGCTTAAAAACTAGAGTGAATCGACCTATAATGAAACTTAATGGTTAGAACACTATCTGTGTTTATATATGAATATATATGTTGGTTTTTTACGATGGTTCAATATTTTAGCAAGTTTAGCTAATATAGCGTAAATTAAAAGTTCTCATAACTCACTTAAAAATTGAAACCTTGTATAAAACCCACACACAAACACAGGTAATTTTTTTACCATCAAGTTTCATAATAAGTCGATTCACTCTAATTTTTAAGCTAACGAAGCTACACGTGATCTTCTGAGCTTAAATTTTGCTTTGTTACTCTCTTATAAGAAAGCGACCACAAATCTCAGTATCCTAGTATCCCTTAATATCATAATATTATGGTTATTTGGGGTATATAGGGTTCAAGGAGTGAAGTCTCGGAGACACCTTAGCTGGTGATTGACCATTTACACCATTTTTATTGTTATTATTATTCCATCATATTTTAACAATGAATATTTTGGGAAATCATAAGATTCTTTTATAGAAGTTCTATCGACGAATTTATTTTAATTACCATACTAAGCGTTGTGATTTATAACGAAATAAATCCCCTCACAAGCAAATATGGGTATGACGTCATCTTAAAGTCTAACGATGTGCGTATATAATTACATTAATATAATATTAAAACTCATAAGACTGAGTTTTTATGTAAAAATTGTACAACGACACATATTAGTATAATACATACAAAATTATGCGTTACAAAAACGGCCATACAATGGTTACAGTACCTACCTAAAGCATGGCTCCGAAAGTTTATGAGTAAGTGGTCCCTACATTACTCATTAGACATAACTATGAAAAAAATAAATAAAATATCATGCCTTCGCAGATATTTTTCTTGGGAGCAATAATTTCAAATAAAAGGTAACTACAGGGCTACAAATAGTAAATAAGATAGAATTACCTATACCTATAATTTATATAATAAATAATAATTTAGGTTTGTAAGTAGGTATATTGTAAATACTGATAAGTGATAACATAAATAATAATGTAACGATTAAATCTAATTTCAAAGCCTTTTCATTTTTTTAAATAATAATAGTACATTTTTTTTTCTGTAAGACTATTTTTAACTCATTTGTCAATACTCAACAATATACGTATAATAGTATATGTACCAACGTATGATACATTTCTAATGTTTATGTTTTTAATCCACTAAGATCGTTCTATAATTTGGCACAATCTTCAAGTTAAGTATATATGGTAGATTATAATGCATAGGTATTATATATATTCCATTTTAGGCGTTAAGATAGCGCTATTTGTGAAGGAGCAAAATAAATAATGTTACTTAGGCATAATAAAAATACGGTATTGCTTATCAATGACTAGTGCATTATCACTGGACTAATAAACATTATATATTTATTTCTGTAAATATTATTTTAATGCCAAATTCTAAATACAATGGTAAAATTCACAATATTTCATTAGGTAATAATATTTATATTACATGATAGAAAACACAAGAACTATTAGCTACAAAAGCAATTCCTAGAATTAATTTTTAAGTAACTAACAAATTATAATACTATTCGTATTTTAAATTAGTTTTAGTACCTAATAAATTCAGTAATAATACAGTAATTATTTAGTACATCCTTGTATTACAAGCCAAATAGGAAATTATTTTAAAACTTAAAGATAACATAATATATTATACCAACTACGAATAATTTTAATCATTATTGATTACATATAGACATGTGTGATGAGTACAATTGTTAAGATAATGTAAAAATGTATCAGTAGATAACAATCATTAGAATTAAATGCTAAAAATATAGCAAACACGATGAGTATGCGTGCTCACTGCTCACATTATAATATATGTAACTACGTCATAGTTTAATACAATCAGAGTAATAAGAAGATAACAATAAAGGACGAGCAAACACAAGCCTAATACCTAGTACCTAATAGCAAGATACCTTTTTTTTTTTTTGTGGTATCGAGAACCAGAGGGGGGACCGCGTTAGCATTACTTCCCCAATAGCAAGATACCTGTGTTAAATGAATACACAATTGTGTATTCGGCTTTCGAATTCAAATTCTAAAATGTCTATACCGTATACTAAATAGTAAATATTAACATACATTGTATGAATACCTACGAAAAAATAGTAACTAGACATTTACAACTAATAATACCAAAAATAATTATCAATAGAATCTAGATAAAAATGTAATCGTGTAAGGTACCTATATTATTTTCTGCGTAACTCATAACGTTATTGTATAAAACATTTTTGAAAACAAATGGTTTCAAAAGAAATTTATTTTAATAAAACATTGAATTACATTTTTCTCTTGTTACAAGGATATTTAATTATTTCAATATGGCAGTAAATGCAGAAGTGACCTAACCTAACCTATAATTCATGGTATGTGTGTTTTGAACAAATTCTACAATTTTGAGAGCAATCCTTTAGACTAAGGTTTTTTTTTTGATTAATCATTGCTGCAATAGCGAAGACCTAGCAATTAGATCAGCTCCACTGAGTAAAGTTCAGTGCAAGTGTGCAACTGCACCGCATATACACCCTATATTAATAATATGAATATATCCATGGTCACAGTATTACGCAAATATTAAAAAGACGATAACAAAGCGTTATAATTTATGATATAGGTACCTTATTAATAACGTATATGAAAATTGCATACACCATATATCACACTCGGAAATGGAACTTTCAACTTAAATATATAGGTTCCTACTATGAGACATGATTAATTACGTTGAAATAAATCCCGTACACTTTTAGTCAACAAAATTATATTATTAAGATGACGCTACACCCGCTAGTTGTAAATAAGTAACGTAGGACATAGCAACAACTGTTTCACGTGGAAAAGAACAGAGTAGGTTACAGTTATAACTAAGAAACTAAATTTTCATCATGAATAAAGGAAATATTTAACTGTGGAGTAGAGTTTTTATTTTTTTGATAAGACCAATATATCAAAAGTTATTTAAGTTTGGAAAACGTAAAAATATCAGATTTTTAAAAGTATTATAACTTTTGTCTTATTAAAGATATCGAACAAATAAAAACGCTGCTACACAGAAATATCATCTTCTATATTGTGCAAACTTTTGGTGTCTCTTCCAGAACTACAGATTGAGTAGTTCCACCCCCCACGCAAATCAGTTTTTGCTATATGTTGTGCATTTGTAAGACAGAAACAACACATGCGGGTGTAGCGTCATCTTAAACAAAGTATACAATTACCACATCACTTTGATACCCCTAAAGCATTTAAAACTAAAGTATGGCGATAAATAATTAAAAGTGTAAGCCCATTTTAATAGGTAATAAAAATCATAATATAATATATTTTGTTCTGTTGGTTTAGGTATTTGAAGGAATGAAGGCATATAGATCAGAACATGGTCACATGAATCTATTCAGACCGGAACTAAACTTGCAAAGGTTAAACTCGTCGGCTGAACGAGTAGGCCTACCATCAATAGACAGTGGCATATTGCTCAAAGGTATTGAACGCTTGGTGTCTATTGACAACGAGTGGTTACCTGTGTCTGCGCCGCTCAGTTTATACATTAGACCTAACCTCATAGGCACAGAAGTAAGTACCTAGTTCAATTAGGAAAATTAAATCTTTCCAGACAAAAGCATTTGTATATAATTTCACAAACAGACCTAATTGGCAATTATTTATTGCCCTTCACGCTGTACTCAAATGGCGTTATTAATTCGTAGTTTGTACCTAGACTCCTTCCCGTTGAAAAAGATTATTTGAATTACAATTTTAAACCATAAGTGAATACTTGATTGTTTTTTCATATATTGATGGTTTGATTAACTCGTTAGAATAAGTTGGCGAAGTACATTTTTAGATAACGTCACTGTCAAATGTCAATGAATTATAAATCCAAAGTTTTTGATAGACACAAAACGTATTTTATACATCTAATAAAATGAATTTTTAGGGCACACTTGGCGTAGCACAAGCAAATTCAGCCCTACTCTACGTAATAATGTGTACAGTGGGATCATATTTCTCTGATAAATTCAAGTCTATCAAACTGATGGCCAACCCGAAATTCGCCAGAGCTTGGCCAGGTGGCTGTGGTGACTTTAAAATAGGCGCAAACTACGCCACCACATTATACCCTCAGGTAAGTGCATGACGACATACACTTTAATTTCATAATAAGTTACAGTGCAAAGTAATAGGTACATTTTGTATAAGACAACTAGTACATAAATTTACAAAATTGTATTGATTCTTACACCATAAAAAATAAACTGATAATAGTTTAGGAATATTTATGTTTATGTTTTGATTAAATGTTTGATTTAATTTTTCAATTAGGTATTCAGTGTTAATCTTACGTATTATTATACTAGTACCTATATTCTAGTCTGACTAATTTTTTTTTTTAAATAATATTTTTGTTAGATATTTTGTGTTTGGACTCATCACTAAATCGTACGACTCTAATAAAAACATTATAAATTTAACTATATAATATTAAATCATAACTTTTCGGGGTATTGCCTTACAATTATAATTGGTAACATAATTTTATGTAAAATACCAACGAAAATTTCTAAGTTCAATAACATACTTACAGTAGCTTAAAAACATATAGGTATTAAATAAACTTAATAAATCAAACTGTTAATATGGAAATAAGATTCTTCAGTGTCCATCTTCAATTTTTTAGTTCGTTTTAAACTCGTGTTTTTATATTTGGTATGGGAAATAATTTTTGAGTTTTTTATTTTACTTTCTAAATTTGGAAAGGTTATGTATTTTATTTTATGAAATATGTTGTAGATGTACCTACTTTATATAGGTAATCACAAATCTATTGTTATTCAAAATTAATATTTTAAATTAGGTAGGTACCTATATATTAACTAATAATTTTATTATATTACGTAAGTACAAATAAACAACGATAAACTATACGCTATTCCAATTAAATTTAACAATTTTCAATATAATAATGCTTGAACGTTTTAGAACTTATCACATTTACTGTAAACTTGTTTAAATACTTACGATTAAAACATTAAATATAATTTAATTAGCTCACATGATACTGATAAGTAAAAAAATATACTCCATATTATCTCAGACTTAGAATATAATTGATAGAAGAATACAATTATTTTATACTGACGCACTACCATTTAAAAATTAATTCATTAATGTTGAAATAATTATTTAAATAACTATTATCATATTTTTATCAGTTTCAGTTGGTAATACCAAACTAACGAGTAGGTATGTCTATTTCATAAAAAAATTTACTTACATTTTCAAATTCCATTAAACGTTTAACATCTATTAATTTCCTAATTTGGTTTTTTCATTGTAAGAAAATAACTACCTATATTATATGCTTAAGAACCATGTTTGAAAAGTTACCAAACGTCAAACAATTTTCATTTCATAAAAATAAGGCATGTTTCTAATTTGTCTAGTGTTGAAATACACAAATTATTCAAAAAAGACATCAAAAGTAACTAATACATCACGGGTAGTAAAAAAATATCAAACTATATTATAATGTAGGCTCACTATTTCAGAAACCTATAATATCATACTTTCTGCTTTATTTCACAAGTAACTACATTAGGTTAGAAAAAATAAACATTACAGTGAAGTGAATTGAAATAATTAGACAGAAAAGTCTATTCAGTTGGTACCTACCTAAACACAGTAATAATAATAATAATTATTATTATTATTTATTAAATTGTCATCAACATTACATTAATAAATAAATGATACATAATACATTGAAAATACAATTTTATTATATCAATATATTTGTATACCTATATATAATATATATATTTTCAATTTACAAAAAACAAAATGATGCAGCCCTAAAAGCAAGCTTGTAGTAGGGGACAGCAAGTCAATTACAGTAACAATTATGCAGGCTTGAAATATTAATAACGGTCCCTTTCAAATGCACATGATGATACACACGGTCTGTGGACTATGGCTAATAAATTAGCTTATCATAAAATACGTATGGATCCTAGATATAAATTATGATCTATGGTAACTTTCCCAAACTGTCCTTCTGCCAGACCTCTTAGCACCTATGGTAAAAATTATTGCGGACAATGTAATGCAAATAACCTAACCTAACAATAATAAATAATAAGATACGTGGACCCCCTTCGGTATACAGAGGACCCCTAGGAGTCCACGAACCTCAATTAGGGAAACTCTGATCTTAAGTATGGATGTCCATTCTCTCACCCATCATCATCAATTGTTTATACGCCATATGTATTTATAAGAACTTAAGCCTTAGCAAAAGCCGATATGTATATTTTATTTTAAAATCTTTTCGATTGCAGGAATTAGCATCAAAATTAGGTTGTCACCAAATGCTGTGGTTATTTGGTGAAGACCGACAAATCACAGAGGTTGGTGCGATGAACGTGTTCATTTTTTACAAAAATCAAAATGGAGGTAATTTAACCAAAATAACATCATATAATTTTAATCCAACCTCAATTACTATTTACTATATATTTACTATTTTTTTGACATTCATTGGAAATATTATGAAAAGTATTGCTTATGAACAAAAATATAATATTATGTTTTTATAATATGTAACTTTCAGAAAAAGTATTAGCCACCCCAGCATTAAACGGTATGATATTACCAGGCATCACCAGGCGGTCAGTATTGGACTTAACTAAAGAGTGGGATGAATTTCGTGTTGAGGAGAGGAAGTTCACAATGGATGAATTAATTGAACTCAATAAGAATAACCAAGTAAGCGATTAATAACTTAGTACCTATATCTAAAATTATAATATTTTGCACAAAACTGCTCTTCTTTTCATCAGCAAGACTTTTCTCACATATATATTAAATAAAACTAGGTAGGTAAAATTAACATTATATATTTTTTGTTATAAACTATGTTTAGACCGTTGGATGATACAATCATTGAACAAGTGTCACTTACTCAGTGGCGTACACAGCTATTTTCAATGGGAGGGGCTTACATATAAAAAATTATATACATGTATATATTATACATTGATAAATCAAAATAATATGTTGTTTAACTAATATTTATTTTCATTATAAAACAATGTCTATTTTCCTGGGTTTTTGTCCCAACTCAATGACTTCTTCAGGAATTAAATTTATATCACGGTATACCGACAACATGGTCAATCCATTTAATCTATCCTGTGTAAATAATTATTTTTCAGTTTAAAATATAATGTTATAATATAATGGAATATAATTTGGAATATCCCATATCTAATAATAATTATTATTAAATAATAATTTCGGTGACGACGGTCTTCTCGCCGTACATTTTTAATCGAAACTCGATTGTGACGGTAACACTGAAATTCCCTTAATTTAATTTTGTATTTATTTTTATTAGTACTATTAAATTTTTTTTAAATTGTCATCATTTTTACTATACATTTTTACATAATTACGTAGACTGAAAAAATACTAAAGGGGGGGAGGGGTTTGAACACCCAACCCCCCCCCCCCCCGTGTGTGTGTACGCCACTGCTCTTACTACACAAATGAAAATGTATCCTAATAACTAATAAGTATAGTAGGTACCTACTACCTAGTACCTACATACACTCAATTCTGTCAACGTCCATTGATAAATATAATTCAATTTAAAAGCATATAGGCATACGGTATAAGTAAAAACTAGTACTAACTAAAACTTTACATTGTTTTCCGAATGCTTGTTCAATAATATATACACGTTTCATGTATATCTGAATCAGAATAAGACATTTTTATTTTGTATAGTTTGACAATTTTCATTTTTAGGGTCATCATTTCATATTTTGTTTCGAGTATTTTAGGGATTTTAGGGCATTAACACTAAAGTACAGTTTTTTTTTAAATTGTATTTTAATAATTTTACATAAAAAAGTAACTTTCAAAAGTGCCAGCAAGATTTTTACATAATCAATTATTACTATCCATTATTTTTTAATCATTATGTTTCAAATGGTTCCTTACTACGTAAAATTCGAGATTACGAGTGGTGTCAATTTAAATGAGAATAATTATTTTTTTGGATTAAAATACCACGTAAAAGACTTGACATTGCGTAGTTCTAAAAAACTTTTTTATTTTTAATTTAATATACAATAATTTTTGATTCAAAACTATTATTTAAAATAATAATAAATTTATTTTATTTTATATGGGTCAATTATTTTGAAACTCTTCCTAACTTTTAGGGCATTATTTCCTAACCCTTTTAACTATATTATTCTCCACTTATGACGAATAATGATTGTGAAATTTAAATAAATACTTGGCTGAATATTGTCCCTTAATTCATGGTGTTGAAACATTCGAGCCACGTAGGTACCTATTTAGCATAATTTTTATTTAATAACGTAATTACCAGCTGTGTATTTATACCCACTAAAAATTAATGTAAACGAAAGTAAAAATAATATGATTATTCCACCTTAAACTTTCTTTTTAATGTTTCAGATACTTGAATTTTTTGGAACTGGTACAGCAGCAGTCATTAGCCCGGTATCGTCAATACTATACGAAGACGAATGCGTGGAGTTACCAACCATGGAACAATCAAACCCATTGTACGGAAGGCTCTTTAAAGCAATTACTGACATACAGTACGGTCGGGTAGCTCATCCGTGGACCAGAGTAGTGGACGAAAGACCACATCTGTACGAATCTCAGAACTATAAATATGCCAACTAGAATCTATGTAATATCAATAGATCGCACGACACTTGATAACGGTCAATAGATGATAGTACAACAAACGACAATTCATGAAGCGTTTATTTTTATAATAAATGACTACTGCTATTACTACCAATTAATATAATAATAGTACGTTTAAAGAAAAAATAATAATGAGATAAATCAATTTACTTTAACAGTTGAGTCTGCTAAGTAAAAATTAGCCGAGCACCAAAATTGTATTAATTTCATTTTAGAATGTTAAGTCATTTCATTCTTGATGAACTTGTTTAGTCTGCCAGTCTACATTATCTTCAATTTAAAAATAATAATAAAATAGTTTATTTTTTTATGACAAACAAATATTTCTATAACAGTTTCAAAACCTCACTGATAAAATGTTTATATATTATTATAAATATATGTGTATGTAATTGTATATAATTGGAAGTAATGAAAATGGCTTAGAGAATAAAGTCATTTAAAATAAATTATTCCATATTATATTAATTTGTTGTACTATAGAATTTATTGACCGCTATCTATTGACGGTATAACTGTTAACTAATGTGAAGTTCATTTGTTTTGTTCTTGAAAAATTATATTTTAAATTTAAGTTATTCATCAAGAATAACGAACTATTAAACCAATAGGTACCTGCAACAATTAACTATTTGTACTAAGTCACCACTTTATACAATTTTTTTATCTCAATAAAAATGATAATTTATCATATAATTATCGCACTCATAAACACAGTTGTTTTTTATTTATTAACAACGGCAAACTATAACGAACAAATATATGTTATTCACCTGTAAATATTGGTGGGTAGCTTAAATTAATTGATCAAATATCTACAAGTTGCAGTGTTTGCACCAATGACTAAGTAATATATTGGTATACCTAGGTGTATTGCACCTATGTGTATAATATAATATATGTCTAATGTCTATATACCTATAAGTAGGTACCTACAAATTCTGAATTGTAAATAATATCAAAAAAAACATGTAAGTAAATATGACTCTGCTGTACAGTAGGTTACAAGTGGGTCACTCTAATAGATGGTGTTAAATTTGAATTCAATGATATAAAATCATTGAATACGAAAAACGATTCTGAGTGAAGACAGAACTGGTCCATCAGTCTATAATATTAGTAATTTATTATACTTGATGATATTATTGTGATGAAAGTAATTTATTTTACTAGTAAGCATTAGTACTACACAGTACATTAAATTCATTTTTGACAAAAAACAAAAACACATTTGAAAAGTCATTGCATGTATAAAATGTAAGAATATACTTTATAACTTAAGTTTCAAGTATCCACAAATAATATTTTTTTAATTTACAACATAATAACAAAAATCATTATTCTTGCATGGTTAGGTATTTAATATGTATAATTTCGTCCACGTTTGAACATAAAAACATTAAAAAAAACTTTGATTACTTATATATTTTTCGATTTTTTAGTTACAGAATAACCTACTTCCATGGAACTTTGTTTGAAATTGTCAACCCTTAGCTATAAAAGTCGAAAATTTTAAAATTTTAAACTATACAATTATTTATAAACTTTGAATGATATAAGTTTCATAAAAATTTGAACTTTAAATGATTATAAAAAAAAATCATGACTATGTATTTTTAATATTTATCAACTGATATTTTTAATATATATTAGGACCCTTGTATTAAATTTTCAAGCTTTTTGAATCAACAAATACAATTTTAATGACAATTATAGACAAAAAAAACTAAAAAAATTGAAAACTGAAAATGTTAGTAAACAGTTCAAAACATTTTGAAAATTGTATCAAGTATAGGAATTGATAATATAAACATATGGTATACATTTCAAATATCTGTAGTTATTTGTTTTTGAATTACAAAAAAATTTTAACAATCGTTCCATGAGAAATAGAGTGAATATCCAATGTTATACAAATGTCAACATCAAACGCTCGTAAAAATCTTAATTGACTTTCCAGTAGAATTTTTTTTTTTGATAAAGGTAGACAAACTTGTAAAGAATCTTGTATTCAATTTTAAAATCTTAGATATGAAAATAAAATTTCTTATGAATTTCAAACTTGTAAACTATGATTTGTACTTATTTCGTCGAAATTCGAAATACAGACACTCATACAAATTATTGTCTCCAACTACTAATGAGGAACCTTGTATTATATTTTCAAATTTTTTGAACGAACTTACATTTTTTTATAGGCGTCAAGAAAAAACTAATAATTACTTATTGAAAATGTCATATGCCTATAAATGATAGTTCAACATGAGTCAAAATATTTTGAAAATTATATAGAGTATATACAATGCAAACACAAACATTCAGTAAAAATATCATGTATCTTTGGTCATTTTTTTTAGAGTAACACTAAAAATTAAAATTGATTTTTTCAAAAACTAGTATTGCGTAAAAATTTTCGTTTTTCCTGTCGTTTTTGAAAACTAATGGGAATTTCAAATTTTGAAATCCCGAATACACCAACTAGGTGATGACAGACACAAAAATAAAAAACACAGTTAATTGTAAAATCAATACATTCATTGCTCCCCTCAGAATCTAAAATGTACTTAAATAATAGTAGACAACCGATTAAAACCTAGGCAATTTCAAATTGTTTATTTATTTCTCATACATCGTAGCTGCCGAATTACTATAATCCAGTGTTTCCCAAACTTTTTGCAATGGCGACCCATAAATTTAATTTTTATTGGGTACGCGACCCGCAGCTAAAAATATGCCGTAAATAAATAATATTTTTTCATTCTCACCGATAACAAATATTCCACAATCGTAATAAAATAATTTAAAGATTACTAAATATATATTAATATCCAATGGAAAACCGATGTCATACATTCTACAATACTATAGCTAATATTATACTAACTATAGTTGGACTTCACATTATTGTTGAGCCATAGAGGTATCAATTTGGCTGCAACTTGTTTGAGCACATTCTATAATTTTTACCTGAAAAAATCGGAATTCGTTTGTGCACACCGATTATATTAAATGTACAACTGGTTTGCGCACACAAAAATAATTATATTTTATCTCGGCGACAGATCCCCACATACAATAATAGACGTGATTCTTAAAATACAAACAGAAACAAAATTAAAAATAACATCAATCAACAAAAATATAAATAATTATCGCCGTAAAGAGTCAATAGAATCAGTTGAACATGGCATAAACTTATGGACAAAATATACATCCGGTGAAATAGACTAAATTAAATATATACAAATAGTGGGAAACTGTTATTACGGAAAATAATAGACATGTATATAATCCTACGCGTATATTTACCAATCATAATACATCACAATTAAAATTAACATGCATTTTCAACTTGAACAAGTATTAAATATTATTTATTAACAATTATTAAGAAGCAAATATTAACATACATTTTTAACCACACCTCACCTATAAATACATCCATAGACAGTCCTAAGTCTGTTAAGGGGGAAGGAAAATGTATGTAAGAACTTTAATAATTTACTTATAAATAAACAAATATTAATATGCAAAGTATTACTATCATTTTACCTCTACATCAACTGCAACCATAAATTATATCACATTCGCAGATGCAAAGAACGAAATTAAACTACACTCAAACAACAAATGGTACTCTCACTGGCGAAAACTCAGCACCAAACTCAATAAAATAAAAAACAATATAAACCCATGGAAAAATCCTTAACTCAATAGAAAAGAAGAAACCATAATAAATCGCCTCCGAATTGGACACACACACCTAACGCACAGCTACTTGATGAGCAAAGACGATCCTCCAGTCTCCACTATGTGACTCATGCAATGTACTTTTAACGGTCAATCACATCATTACAGAATGTCAAAAATATAACCAGTATCGAAATCAATACCACATCTCCGAACAAATTTGCCAAGCACTAGGATCAAACCCACAGGACGTAAAAAACTTAATTTTATTCTTAATTATAAAAACAGAATTGTACAATTTAATTTAATGTAATCATGTAAATACTAAAATACTAACAATGTAACCAAAAAATTCTTGTACTAATGGCCTAGTTGTCGATATATATTTCAGATCAATAAAAAAAAAAAAACTATTTAAGTCTAAACAGTAACTGTGCGCAAACCATGTGTATGGTTACAGCTCAACTCTCAACTGTTCCCAAACGAGTGGTAGTTTTGTGCCCAAACAAGTTGTCCTTTTGGTATTTGTGCGCAAACCAATACCTCCCATCAATTTACGGTTAATATAATCGTATCCAGGAATCGCGACCCATAGTTTGGGAAACGCTGCTATAATCGAACACCTTATTTTAAATCTTCATTTTATCTTTAGTCTTTACCCCACTCCCATGTATCACACTTAAAAATTTTTTACAATAACTAAATATTTTTCTTTGCTTTAGAGAAAGATTAAAAGTAGATATAAAATCGAATTCAAACATTTTGAAAGTAGCCTGGAATTATCAACTTTACTAGTATAAGGCGAGAATACGAGTATTTGACAGATGTTAACAATATTTTAATACCCGCTGAACTGTAGGTCTAGTTGCGCCTATAATGGCTCACACATGAATTTCGTTTTGATTGAAGGAAATCGAATAACTTGTTGTTTATAGTAGGGTTTCCATTGGTTATAGAAGTAAAATTTAAATTTAAAAAAATTATTTAAGCTGGCGTGTAAAGTGCCCATAACTCATGATACGTTTCTATGGGATTTTTTTAAATAAAATAAAATAATATTTTATCTAATTTTTGTTGTTCAAATATTATGCTTACAACAAAATGTAATGTAGGTACCAAGGTACCTACTTATGTTCGTAGCTTTGTAGAGTATCGACCACTGTAATCTACTATCAAGTAAAAATCTACTATACCAGTTTTAATGACATTTTTAGAGGTTCTTAAAAAAAATTATCAAGAAAGTTTTAAGAGTTCACCTCGTTCGAAAATATATAAAATGTTAAAAAATATAGGTATATAGTATTATAAGCCACCACAGGATTGCCAATCTCGGTAGAATTAGTTTAAAGTAAAGATATATATATCGATATTCGATGCCGATTTTCCTGTAAAAAGATACGTTGTACACTTAAACTGAGATACACTGATTAGCGCCATATTTTAAGTCAATTTTTTCCCGGTCGAAGATATAATACCTACCTACTAATACTTTTATCATAAAACTAGACGAGCGAATTTAAAAAAAAACATGTTTCTGAAAGGAGTTTAGATTGATATAATATTATAATGTGTATATTTTAGTCTTAAAAGATGTTTTTTTTTTTTATTGATCTTAAGCCCGGCAACTGTGGCCATTAGCTGTAGTAGGTATTGTAGGTTTTTTGGCACGGTAGGGGGGAACACACGTGTTTGTTTGGCAGAATTTTAAGTGGGCACCTGTAGGTACTGCCATGCCCGGGTGGGAGGATGGCGGCAATATTCTCAACATCCGCCGTGACTCGGCTGAAGAAAAATGCCGCCCAGTGGCCGAGAATCGAACCGGCGACGGCAGCGCCGCAACCGAGGCCTAGACCGCTCGGCCACCCCGTCCCCCAAAAAAGATGTTTTGAAATGTCAAATTACTCATGAAAAAAATGAATGAATAAAATATAATTAATATATAAGAACCTAAATAGTAAATATTACGATGAGACTACAGACTTTGTCGAGAAAAAATATCATATTTACAGATTTATTATTACCGATGCTCGAAAGATTGTAAATTGGTAAATCGGAATCCAGTAATATCCTTATAGCAGTGGTTCTTAACCTTTTTCGGATGACGGAACTGTTCGCGCTCGAACAATACTATTATTATTATTTACTGTGCTTATGGTTTTTTTTATTATTATGTTGGCGGCAGTGTACGTGTCAGCAACGTCTGGTCGGGCACCACTGTCCAGAATACGGCTTTCGTCCAAGTCGTCGGTTAACTTTATATAAATGTTTTTTTTGTTTTTATGGCAACTGCCGAGCAGTCATCAGCTCTAAAATCTTTTTTCTTTTACTTTTGTCGCAGCCGAGTCTGGTCAAAGCGCATGTTTTTCTCGTTCTTGTCGCAGCCGAGTCTGGTCAATTAATCAAATTTGTATTCATTATTAAAGCGTTAAGTAGTCAAATCGAAGACCAATGTGAAGCACGTTGCATTTTTTATTATTATTATATTTCATTTTTTGGTCGCAGTCACTGAAGATTCTGGTAATATTGTTCCACATTATTCTTCACTATATTCGTATTATATCATTTTCCTTCTAATTAGGTAGGACATTGTTTTTCTTGTATTGGCGGTGCCTTACTGCAAAGAGTGCATCAGTCGGAATTTGAGTCATTTATTGGGTTTGCTCTTGTCATTGTGTGGCTAGCGGTGTTGAAGCACATGTGCGGGATCACACCTGTTAATTTTTCTTATTTGTATAATCGTTTAACTACAGATCCCGGCATTGCTCAACCCATAATCATACCTGGGTAAGTGGTGCACCACTATTATTTATTATTATTCATCATATATACTATATTCATGTATCATTTGTATTATATAACAGTTGCATCTATTAGATTTTGTATTATTGTAGCAAAGAGCACTTGTCTTGTAAAAATTTGTAATTAGTGCCTACTACTATTGACAAAAAATTATCGTTACCCTATATTATTATTATTCTAATTGTGAACATATTTATTGTTATTGTCATTATATTATACTAGTCAGCAACATATTATTATTCTCTTTTTATTTATTTTGAATCAACAAAAAATTACAGTCCACTTATTAATTACTTACACACAGTTAGGAAACAGGCAAGTCTACTAATATTGTAGGCACCTGCTTTAATAACATTTTTTGGTCCGTCGGGCCGGATAGAAAATAATGATAGTGTTCTGCTGAACTATTTATAATTTATATCATATTATCATTTTTTTTATTGTAACATAAGCACTTTGTGCAACAGAGTGTAAAGCACAAACAGTGACAATAATTGTATTGTTTTTATATTCCTTTTAATATTGTTATATAATAAAAAACTGTTGTGCTTAGCTTGTTAAGGATGACCGGCACAGCAGCTCCAAAGAATAGCATACCAGAGACTGAGACTAACGTGTCTAATACATTAGTGCGTCGTAGGGTGGGTTTGATGAGAGAAATATCAGCGCATTTAAAATTTATCAGTGAATTTGAAGAATCCACTGATGCTTATCAATCAATTGACATTAGACTGGAGCAAATACAAAACACAGTCAAGCAATTCCAAGAGATCCAGGATAAAATTGAACACTTGGATAATAGTATAGAGGACAGCCAAAGTCAATATAGAATTCAATTCAATGAGTTAGTATGTAACGTTCAAGCTTCACTACTTGCATTACGGTCGAAGAAGATAAAGCAGGTGACAATGCAAAATGAAAGTCATACCAATGATACTATGCGATTGCCTTCAGTACCTGCACCTGTGTTTGATGGTAACAAGCAAAATTGGCCACCATTCAAGGACTCGTTTGATGCCATGTTTCACAACAATAAGGGACTAGCTGAGGTGCAAAAATTACATTATTTAAAGGCATGCATGTGTGAGTCAGCTAGTGAAATCATTAAAAGTTTTCCCACTACTGGTGACAATTATCAACGAGCATATGAGGCACTTGTTATGAGATATGAAAACCATTCCCTCATAATTCAATCACACATTCGATCATTATTAGAAACGCCCAAGGTAAAGAATGCAAGAGCAAGTGAACTTCAAAGGCTTCATCATCATGTCACATCCCATGTTAAGGCGTTAGAAGCATTGGAGCAACCAATTATGCAATGGGACGCGTGGCTTGTCACACTGATATGTTATAAGTTAGACAACATCNAATTTAAATCCGCTATTCTGATCAGTGGTATTAATATTATTAGGTTGTTAAAATAAAAAAATACAATGCTATACAAATACAAAACATAACAGTTATATAAAATATACAATGTAACATATTTTTTTTTTAAATAATAAGCACATATACTCATGGGATGTGTGTTTAATTTGATAAATTTGATTAAAAAGTCGTCTTCAGCACGTGCAGCGGATATTTTAACTATAAAGGTACATCTTGCCATAAACTTTTAGTTTTTACTGCATGTTGACAAAGTCACAGTTGGAACATTTCGATCAAATCACATACCCAACCGGCAAATACATAGGGATTTGAATTTGACATATTAAACTCGAAATTATTCAATTAAAAATGTTAGTTTTCGTGAAATTTTTAAAAATATTTCTTTTATGTACAAATATTATAAAAATTAAACATTCTGATATTAGTCCTATGTTCAGTATTAATTAGTAGGGTTCTAAAATGTCATAACAGTTTTTTTTTTAATATTTCAGTTTTACGAAAAATAAAAAATAAAATTGTAATTTAAAACTACAGGCAGTAAGAAATGCAGCTTTACTTATTGTTAAATTTCAAATTGAAAATGTAATAGAAATATCGCTTAAATCGTACATTATATAAATTACTATCAATCTTATTTTTATATATACCTATTATATTATTATCTTTTCTACATCGATCGGAAATTAAATATTGATAACAAGTAATCACTAATCCGATATTATGAAATCAGTCAAACCATCTGGTGACGATTTTGTTAAAAATACCAAAAAACGGAAAGTTAAAATAATTTATTTTTCAATATTTCATTGAAATATTTCAAGAAAGGTGAACATTTCATGTGAAAATATTTCATACTCATAACCCTATCAATTAGTCATTGGACATTTACCCTTAGCAAACATTAATAATGAATGATTTATTAACGTTGATAGCTACGTATTTCAGGAATTATACCTTGTTAATGGTTACAGCTTTATCACTTATCAATCAGTTGAATTAATTGTTGTATGCTTTTTGGAGCCAAATAATAGTACTAATGATTGTAATTTATACAAACGTGTTTCAGTAATGAATATGTCTTGAAAATGTCTCCTTTGTTAGACATAACAATCCAAATTAATAATAATAAGTTATAACTGATAATACTGCTATGATTTTATCAACTAATTATACATTTAAATAATTATTAAACAATAATAAGAAGGTAGCCAATTTTAATTAATAAAATACATCAAACATTTAAGTTTTATTTTTCACATAAATAAAATATTTCTGGGAGTTAAATTACATAAAATAGTCTAACCCTACATGTTAGGTTGATTATATACTTACACTCTACACCAGTGGTTCTTAACCTTTTTCGAATGACGGAACACTTAACATTTTACAAGATTTTCGAGGAACACAACTGTAAAATAAAATAGTAGTACATACATTTTTAATTTTTAAATATATTAAACAATGAATGTATAGCATAAAATTGTTTGCATGCCATACATGTTAGTGTTAGTCACTAAAAAATAATAAAATAATAAAAAGAGTTAAAAAAAATTTAAAAATTTGAAATTGAATACTTTGTATGAGATATTTGTGCCTGATGATTTTTACAGATATTTTCAATATCTGGCCGTATGTACGATATTGCTACTCTCATTTCCTCTTCAATATTTGTCAGCCTTTCTCGTTTCTTTGTTTTGATATTCGTCAGTGTTGAAAATCCAAGCTCACATAAGTATGATGTTGAAAACTGTAATAATATTGAAATTGCTTTTTCAGAAATTTTTTTAAATTCGGTTTGAACTGAAATCCAAAATTCTTCTACTGTTATTTCGGAAAATTTTATTTTTAGAGTTCGATCTGTTGTTAGCGTTATGAATTCTTCCTCTTCTTCTAACGTAAATTCATAACTTGACGTGTTGATGGTAGAAAATGGATTTCGTATCCAATCATACTTTTCAATATTCAATTCAGGAAAGTATTTCTTGATTTTTTCTTCTAATAATGCTAAATGTTCTGTTATAATAGGAATTATTTCATTATTATTTTTAATTGAAGGAAACATGTCTACCGTATTTTTTTGAATTATACGCGTTCTCCAAAAAGATATATTTTTTTTAATTGTTAATAGTTTATCCGTGGGTGTAAGAATATTTTCGTTTTTACCTTGCATACCAGCATTTACGCTATTTAAATAATTAAAAATATCAGCTAAATATGCCATTTTAACACACCAAATATCGTCTGTAAGAAAAGATATAAAAACAGTGTTACCTTCGTTTTGAAAAAACATTAACAATTCATTCTTAAGTTCCAGAATTCGATTTAGAACTTTACCTCGCGATAACCATCTTACTTCACAATGTAAAAGTAAACATACGTGCTGAGCTTCCATTGATTCACAGTTTTTTAAATAGGCGTGATTGTAATAGACGCGATTTTATGTAGTTAACCATGCTTACAATTTTATCCAATACAGACTTTAATGTAATAGGTGTAAAAAACAATGTGTAGATATGATATTAGGATTTTTTAAGGCTTATAGGTATACCTATGAGTATACACACACAATATGGTTATAAGCTCTCCTTGTTAATTGCATTTCATTATTACACCCACTGACAACCAGGATCATTTATAGATTATCCAATCTCAAGTATTCTATTGCCACAATACCACATCAAAGATCAAACTTCACGTGTTTAGTCGCGTAATAAGTAATAAAACGTATTGTTTCCAAGTACTGATTCTGAATGTTCTGCCATTGTAAATTTTCGATACAGGTTTATCTAAGTAATAATAAATATCTAAGATAAATATTTTATTAAATATATTATATATACTATAATTATTTGGTTATAATGTATATGATCAGTGTTGTGAGCTGGTAGGTACTTATTTGAGTAAAAGTATTCAAATATATTTCCTTATAAGTACTTATTTTTAAATACCTACTTTTATTTTAGAAGAATTTGTACAGTATTTTAAATACATTTTTTTACTATTGAATACTATTTTTTTATTCCTTATATTTTGATTCTGAATTCTTATCTAATTGCAATCCTTGTTCAATAAAAATACAAAGCCAACGTGGCAAAGCTTCGGCGTTATAACAACTATTATATTATTAAGTACATGTAATATATAATCGATTCATCATTTATAGACATAATATGTCGATGTCGGTTTTCGTTGTATTAATAAGTTAATTAAATGTATCTCATATTTTTCATCAACTTTACACGATACACGGAGTTAGTTATTCAAATGTCGTACCAACTGCATATATATTACTACCAAATAAGAAAGAAGAGACTTATAAACGCAATTAAAAACCTTACATCAACTTACCTACTCAGTCCAAAATCTATTATGTTCGATTTTGAAAAGGGTGCAATGATGAATGCTGCAAAATGTGTATTTTCTTCTGTCGATATAAAGGGCTGTTTTTTCATTTATGTCAAAGTATTTGGCAACAAATACAGTCCAAATATTCAAACGATTCCGATTTTGCTTTTAATTTGAGAAAACAAGCTGCACTTGCTTATATTCCAGAAAATGATGTAGTGTCCGCCTTTGAAACTTTACTCGAATCTCAATTTTATCAACAAGAAATGTTATCAAATTTAATTAATTTTCTCAAGAAAATCAAGTTATTGCGATATTTTTGTACCAACGACATATTTACTTTTGCGATATTTTTACCACAATATTGCCGCAATATTTTGACGTGTATCCAAAATAAGAAGACTTTGGAAAAGAAAATAACTTACCTGAGCAATTATTCGAAATCTCGAGACCCGGAAAAGAAGTGAACACCAGTTTTAAATTTTTTGAAAATTTTAGAAATATATAACTTAATTTAATTTAGCAAAATATCAAAAAATTATTGTTAAAAAAAAAAATATATTATTAAATAACTGTATGTTAATAACTAATAAGTAATAAGTATTGACCATTAGTGTTTTCAAAAAAAAAACTTTCTGATCTCTAAAATCTATATTCAATAGTATATTGTAATAAGGGTTACAATAAATGTTTGAGATAATCGTACTTTTACAAGAAATATTTTCTAAACAAAAACAAGTTATTGTAAGATCAAAAAAGCTCCTTTGATCTTCTTTTATTAAAATGTATAAAAACAACAAATTATTAACCCTTTAATAACTAAATTATAAAATCATTAATGAATAAAAATGTAAAAAATAAAAGCGTCTTTCTTTTAGAATAACATACAAATTAAAAAAAAGCTGTTAAGATATGGTACATAATAATATATTTAATAATAATTTGCTAAAAATTATTATAATCTTCGTGCTGAGTAGGGAAACATGCCATGAGATGAAGTTTGTTGTTCTGTACTTTTATTTTGGCCTTAAAACATATTTTTAATAAAAAAATTGTTATTAAATCTGGTGAAGTATTTTAATAATTATATCAATAACTAATAAAAATAAAATAAAATCAATAACTACATTTTAATCATATTTTTAGTGAAAGATTTAAGATTATAATACATTTATTTAAGAATGTACTCTATATAATAGCTCTATAAAGCCACAATTAAAACAAAAGACTGTAATTATTAATTAGAAAATTGTATTCTTACACATAAATTATAAAATTAAAAATACCATGTAAACCATAACTATACCAAATTTGTACCTGTTATTTTAATATTCAATGGTGGTGCATTTAGTAAGCTCCTGATATCCTCAACAATATCCTTATTATAATATTCTGTCCTCAAAATGACATCATCAAGGCCTTTTGGATTAAACTCATTAAATTCCTACCAAATAAAAACAAATATTAAAATTAATATAAATTGAAACATAGTTCATAGTTTTATACAGAACATTAATGATAAAAATAACAAATTTGAAAAATAATAAATACTATAAAACTGAACATATTTTTATGATTCAATACTAACCAAGATGTTTAACACTTAATATTTCAATGAAATTAACTACAGAAAATTATAGATATAAATTGTATATGATGATTAAACTAATTTTGTTAAGTGGACACACATCCACATGCGCATGTGTTATATCTGTGTTACAAACCCATAACATAATAAATTGAATGTTTTGAATAATCTATTTAACTCTGTTATGTTAAATTTTAGAGTGAATTGGCCTTTTAACAACTTTAAAAGTAAGAATATTATCTATCAAATAGCATAGGTTTTTTTTTAAATTTTAAATGCAGTTATGAGCATTTTGAAAATGCAGGAGGGTGTAGCGTTCCTTGAATGGTCCCTCATTATGGTTATGAGTGTTATAATTTATGCTTCCATAATTATTTCAACTGTACAAAATATGGGCCCACAATTAATCACACAATTTTTTAAGTATCATAGTGTCAATGATGATTATTCAGAAAAAAATCTACATTTTTTTTTTCATGTAAGTTCATAGAAATTATTAATAATGTAATTTCATTTAAGACAGTTGGAGTATATTTAGCACACTGCTACCTCCTTCTGAAGAGAATTTTCACATGTGTGGACGTCACTCCTAGTGGAGTAGGTTTAGCAGAGAAGAGTAGAGCAATTGGAACAAAGGTGAGGGAGAGACTATGAAATAGTATTTTTTGCACTGTGTCAGGTATGAACCAATGACTGCAAGCGTCATGGCCAGCTGTGTGACCATCGTACCACACTGCACACATATCTACATTTACTGGAAAATGTTAATACTTGTTGATGTCAGCACACTGTTGGTATACTTACTCTGGCCCATGCACAACATAGACAAAACGCAAATCATTTTTTTTATGTCCTAGAATAATCTTAAAGTAAAATCACCGGTTACAAAATCGATAATGATTAATATTTTAAAGGGAATAACATATTGATGATGTGTCTTAATATTGTCTCAAAACAATTTAAATATCATTTCAATTTTCATTTTTTTTTTTTGTAAGTTGAATACTAAGTCAAATAATAATAAAATATAAAACCAATACGTCATACCCACAAAAATATTATCTACAATTTTTGTAATAGGTGATTTCATTCTAAGGTTACTCAAAAATCATGAAAAATGATTTTAGGTTGAAGTGTTTTATCTATATCGCGTGAGTGTAAGAGAGAAAACAAATATTGAGCTGACAGCCTCTTAAGCCAATGACCAAAATGCATTATTTATCACATTACCATATTTCTCATTATGAATAGTTATACTATAAAAAATTTCCTAGGAATTATGTGAATCATCTGAACTATTATAAGCAATTTTACATAGAAAGTCTGATACATTTAGAGGGATGAGGTGTATCATCGCCAAGGAGGAATTGTTTTTTTAAGGGATTTATGAGTGGCATAATTACTTTTCAACCTACTATTTTTAATTATGTACAATTTAAGCATAAGTATTATTTAATGAATTTTATTTATAAAATATAATTTCATGTAACATGATGCTCAGTAAAATATTATTTATACAGACACAACTCTCACCAATAATAAAAAATTATTTTATACAATCTGTGATATGGTATACACAGTTACAGGTAAGGGTAACAGACTGCTACTACTGTATCCCACTAGTGCTTGAAAATCGAAATTATCCATTGAACTTATTGAATCTGAATTGTTAAGCTACTGCTTAACTTTTTTCTCATGAAATAATTAAAATTGTTGGCTAACGTAACGTTAAAACAAAATAACATAAAGTAACATGTATAAACCACTAACTAAACTATAACTGATTATCTCATATTGTATTATTAAAATAGAAGTAGACTTTGATGTTAAAGTTCAATCTTCATCATTGTCAACTCAGTAGATGACAAGTGTATAGTAGACCATAAGACAAGAATATGGATTGTTGTATTTATTGTTTAGATTTATGGTTAATACAATCTGATCATTTTTTTTTAATATTTTGAAAAAAATCGCTTTTAAAATGACTGGTAGCAAAATAAAACAGTGGTGCATGTTCTAGAAAATTGGCCATAAAATAAATGATCAAAATGCATTTTCATTTCTATAAAGTTCCAGTATAAAGAAATTTTTTGTTTTTAAATCTTAGTATAATTCAATCCATATGTCTTAGACAAATAACTGGAGCCCCCTGGTATATGACTAACAACGCACTACACTACATAAGGATCTACAAATCTCAACTGTCAATGAATTAGCAACTCATCTCATCACTACAAAAAGTTTCACTCCGAACTACACCTAAACCAAAACCTTCTCATTTCTCACATGTTCTCTTTAACCATCCCCAGCAACCCTCAAGGTTAAAAAGAAAATGGCCAAGAGACACCCTTGCCTAACACAATAGAAAAAAAAACGGTCTCCATTGAGAACCCACCATTATTAGGAGGTACTGTTGATGGACGGTTTTCACCCCTCAAGTAATTCAAGTCATGTATTATACTACCTTATCAAATTTACTTATTGTACTACTTGTTGTATAGATTGTAAATATTGCAAAAAAAAAAAATCTTAGTATAATTTTATACATTCATAGGGTATTGTCAAAAATGACTTGCACTATGTACCTATGTTAATGTTATCAAGAATTAACGGTTTCAGAAATGTTGAATAAGATAAATGAGATATCATTATTCATTAAAAAATGATTTTTTAGTACTAGTCTTCACAAAATTATAATAGTCTGCTAAATGCATTTACCAAATTACATAAACATTTATTATAGTATAACATTACGCTTGTTTATAACTATTCATTTTAATATACTTACAATAGAAAGTGTTGCATTGGGTGTGATGAAAGTTTTTTTGAAATAATTCTTGATAAGTTGAATTTCGTTTTTTGTTTTCAATGGTGGCATGTTTTGAAGTTGAACTTTTATGACAAAATTTTGAAACTAAAAAAAACATGGATTTAAAATTTAAATATTTAACACAAATAGATTAGGTTCAGAATAAACCCTTTTACCCATCTTAATATAGTCACATATTAGTGAGTGGGTTTATAAAACTATTTTGAGTCTTGTAAAAATGGCATTTTTTAGGGCTAATGATACCAATCTCATTCAACTTTAAGCTTACTACAATATTAAATACATCTCTATTTTGATGTCACTCAATTTTTAAATTGTTATTTTAATTAAAAATAATATACCTCACAAGATTCTTTGTTCCCCCAATCACAGATCCTCATGTAAAGTATTTAAAAATCGGGTGACATATAGAAATCAGTGATTTCTGGGGGCAACAATTTTTATGATGTATTGCAATAACTTAATAAGTTAAAAATTGAACAAAATAAATACCACAAATACATACCCTTAAAATCCTACATTCACAGGAACGAAATAGATTTTTAACTAAAAGAGATTAATTAACATATATTTTAATAATATCTTTAAAATACTAATTATAAATACCTTTTCTAATTCTTTTGGTAAATCCATTATGTCTTCAGCATTTACTATTTCTGTATTCCCATAATCCAGGTAAAAAACATTATATTCATTATCAATTATATTGGTAATTTGAGCACGAGAATGCATAACCACATTTAATAATGACTTTACACATACTTTATCACCAATTTTCAACATTTCTTTGGGGATGTTATTATTAGCTAAAAAATTTTAATATACACTTACTAAATATATATACTTGTCAAATAAGTTATTTAGTGCCTGTATATACCATTTCTAAAATATTTTAACATCTGTTTATTGAATGCATTAAAGTTTTCAATAAATTCATATGACGCATCACGAATAAAAATTGAATTGAAGTTCTCAAAATTAGTTATGAAAACAGATGAACCACTCTTAATAGGATGGGATGGTTTCTCCAATGGGCTTTCTTTTGTCTCCGGCATGACTAATTCAAAATTGACAATCATGAATATCATAATTTAATTTTTAAAAAAAACATAGTAAATTATTACTGATTTTTCTTTCTAATCTTCGCTGCTGAGATAACGTCTCCCTAGAAGTAGAATCATTAGAAAATAACTTCTGTACTTCATCATTCAGAGACACATTGCTTTGTAATTCTTTTAATACAACTTCTTGGTTATGAAATAGTTCAGATTTTTTATTATATTCCTGTGAATATAAAATATAGTTTTTAATTACTAAAAATATAGTGCTGGTACACTCTTAAAATAAACATACCATAATATATGTTTTCCCTTTTAATGTAGATAGATATTGTGCTATCTTAGCATTTAAGATCTTGTTTAAACCGGTAAGCACAACTCTACGAACCATTATTGGTATCTAAAAAAATATCATTGTAATTATTATAATGAAATATGTTAGACCATTTAAATTAATTAATTTTCATAAGTATTAATATTATTAGATTTTTATACTTACTTTATTTAATGAAACATAGTTAGGTAATGCAAATATATTTTTAGTTGGGATCAAATCAACATGACCAATATCAATTAAAAAACATTTAACCATATTAGTATTATCATAACATGGGATCTTGACTTTAGCTCTATAAATACCCTCATGTCTTGTAGAATATATTGCAACAACATCATTAGTCTTGGCAGCTACTGGTTTGAAATTTTCGGCTATAAAAAAAAGTCAGTATATTCATAAAAAAAAAAAGTTTAATATTTATAAAATTTACAGACTAAAAACCCCAAATATTAATAACAATTAAATCTTTATTTTATAATAAAATATATAAAATAATAAATATAATTCATAAAATCATAACCAATCTTAAGTCTGAACTAAATTAAGCCAGTTGCAAATAATGTTTAATTATACAAACGCAGTGAATAATCTTTATAACAAAACTATAGACAACGAATGATTCCTTATAACGTTAACATAACATAATAATGGTGGGTTTGCTTTTTAACTCATTAGTCAATTCATTCTCTATAGCGTACCAGTTACTCTCAATAAAGAAACAATATTTTATCTTTCATAATACAATTTACTTGCTGTTAAATTATAAAAGAAATTTTTTATGACTATATTCTTTCATTATCTACATTTATCATTGTAATATACGGTTATAATTGAATTAAAATATGTTCATTTGTCTAACATTAAGCTCATGATCACAATAATGTGCAAACATTGGTCGTGGCAAGTAAAAGAAAAACAGTGTGTTGATCAAAAAATTGCTTTAATACGTGCAAATGAAAAAGTTGAAAAAAAAGTGATGTTGGGAGACGTTTTGGATTCAGCACATTCACTGTCGTTGATACTATTTGGAAAAATAAGAAAATAATATTGCAGGATGAAACAGAAGGAAGCTCTTGTAAAAGAATAAGAAAACCGAAATTTGAAGAATTTGATCAGGCTATGTTGATTTGGTTCCAAAAACAATGTTGTAATAATGTAACTATATCTGGGCTTATTTTGAAAACTTAAGCTGAACATTTAGCTCAACAACTTAGCATTATAGATTTCAAGGCCTCAGAAGGATGGTTAGAAAAACTTAAATGTTACCCTTGATATTATGCACACCCTTTTAACTTAAGTCTTAGTTTACTAAATTACTTGAAGCACTTGTGGTCTTCTTGGAAAATTTATTATCTCAGAATTTTTTTTTAGTTTTAAAAATAATAAATTTAACAGAAAATTGAACCTTACTATTTTCTCTTTTTAGTTGGTCCAAGACATTTTTAAATTCTTCATATGATTTGATTTTTCTAACATTAATATTGTCAACATTATTTCCAAATAAAAATTCAACGAGATCTCCACTTTGCCACTCAATATTAGAACCTGAAAATTTTAATATACATTTTATTATTTTATTAATAATTTTGAATGCAATTGAAAGATACAACATGAACATAATACATTAAGATACAAAAGTAAATAGATAAAAATATAATAAATCTTAAATACATAAACAATTTCTTTAAAATAACAAAACAACTATTTTATTTTACTGTCTAATTATTAATAAATTATTGAAGCAGAAAAATAAGGCAAATAAGTGGAAAACCAACAAACTTATAATTTAATTACATAAATCAAAAATAATAATTATGTCTGTATATTATATTATATATTACACAAAAAATATGTGTATATAGTAATAATATTATCTTACCATTACTTTTTGTTACTTGAGAATTAGATGTAGCCAGTTTAGGTTTATTTGACACGTTTTCAGATGAACTATATATTTTGACTAAATCATCTACTACATCTTGTCCACTACTTTGTTTTATTAAACTTACTTCATTTAAATAATTGAAATTATCTTCATCACACCTCTATTAAAAAAAATATAATACATGTCATATTTTTAATTAAATAAATTTCACATATATTCAGAGAAGTAACAATCATTATTTAGAGTTAAGTTAAAATATCAGTATACACAACTATCTATATGAAATAAATTAGTTTTAAAATTATATGAGATAGTTATAGATATAGTTATATTCTAAGTACCTACAAAATAATATTTTTATCAAATTTAAATTATATTAAATGTGTAGGTTACAATTGTGGGTGGAAATATCACTCTTAAGCAACAACTCCAGTTTACCGTAAATTGTACACCAAAATATAATTGTCAGGAGTGGATTGACATATTGGGAATTCAAAAATTTACCCTAATGTTTAATATCAGAGTAGGTCACATAATTAGTATTTTGTCAAAAATATATTTCTTGTGAAATCTTAGTATTTTATAAATACAACTACAATATTATGTGAATAGTTTCAAATTGACAACAGATAATAAATTCATACAATCGATCCATTAAAAACATTTACTGTAGCATTACATATACATATATTTTACTGTGGTGATGGATACATTTTTTTTATGCAAAACTACTCAACTAACCTTTCTAATGATACATCTATTTTCCCTTATTGCGTATATAGGTGTAATTAGTAATTGGCACAGCAGAAAAGTACTTGGGAACTAATATATAACTAACATTTAAAATAAATTATAAGCTTAATAATAATACAGATCAACAGTTAACATTTGCATATATGTACCTTGTTACAATTGCTTCAACTCAAGAAATAATCCAAACTAATATTTTAATTGATTTGGTTTTTAAATTGCATTTGTTTAAATATTTATTTTAAAATCAGTGGATTTCAAACACTAATTTTTAATTTTAAAAGTTATTATCTACTTGATTGTTAAATTTGTTGAAAAAGTTGGAAACTTATGACCATGATTTTCAATAATATATCTCATAATATAGATTAGTTTAAGTTATTGAACAATTGAAAAGTAAAAGTATATTCTTCAGAGGAAAGCTATTCAGTCACAATATGCTTAAAAAGTTAACTCGTTAAAAAAATATATCAAGAAATGCCATATCGACTAGAATAGTTTAACATTTTATTATATTAGTAAAATTACAATTACAATTAAATAATTTGGGTACATTTTACATTAAGTAAAATTAAACAAAGAAAAAATAAGGTAACTTACTAAAATTAATGGAACTGGATCATTTTTCCACAAACTATAAAAATAATCTTTAACAGTTGTAGTTATACTAAAACCTGTTGTACCTTTAAGACCAACCTTAAGAGCTAAACCAGGAATCTATAAACAAATACATCAATGCACAAATTATTATATAAATTAATACGAAAATAATAAATTAACTTTAAAATTAATGTGTTACATTTTTTAAACTATTTGGAAGTTCAAAGATATTATTATCAAGCACATCTATAATTTTTCCAATATCCATTAAGAATACAGAATACTTCCTTTCACATTTACCAAGAACTTGAGCGCGGAAAATTTTTTCTTCAAATTTCACTCTTACTATATCCTTATACTTAGGATTCTCTTTAAGAATAATACCTAAAATAAATAAAATACTATTTAATGTTATATATAAATAATACATTTATAAGTTTACAGTATTATACAAATCACAACGCACTCAATAATCTGTATAAATTATAATTGATCGATACATACATTGTCAAGTTGAGACCATATTCATTCATAATCTAATATTTTAATTCGATTTAATAAAAATAAAAATTCTAATTGTTTAGAAAGATATTAAGATCTTATATCCGTACTGTGTTGCTTTTTAATTTTTACTAATATAATTGAGTGGGTTCAAGAATTTTTACTCAGTGATAAATGCAGTCTTACAAGATATACAATAAGTATTGTATTTATTTATTTTATTTTAGATATGCTGAACACTTCATATTTAAACAATTGAAGGATACAAGGAGTCGATTTCTGTAAATTGTTCATAATATCAAACATAAGGTTTATAGACTTCTACCCATCTAATAATAAGATTCTTTATGACTATTATTTTAGTATAATGCATAAACTTTGAAAAGTAATTGAAAAAATGTTTAGAAGTTATTTTTTTAAGAGTTTTACCAAAAACTAATATTGTTTTATCGAAGACAAATTTTGAATAAAAATTCCAGATTTTCCTCATTTTTTTTAGTTTTTCCTAGCGCTTTTGATAACTACTAAAATTTAACCTCCTGAATGTACCAACTAGATTCACTTTCCTACCGGGAAAGATGCTTAAGTTGAAAATTACAACATTAAGCATTATTTTCACTACTAATCATGTACACGGACAAAAAAATAAAAAACACATCATTGTTAAATAAATAAATTCATTACTCAGCTTAGAATCTAAAATGGAGAGTATAATTTTTATTATTCATTTAACACTGATGAAGTAGTTAACTGTTAAGAGGGCAAACCTCATTAACTGTTTCTTATATTCAAGCATGCATCAATATAATCAGTCAATGAGTCAAAAGGAGTGAATCAATTAAACTGGAATTTCAGAAATAAGTCGTTACGCTATATAATAGTTTCAAGTTTTCCATAAATTGCCATCTCATAAATTAAGTAGGTAATACTGTAATGGATGGGTTGAGTTTGATAAATCTGGTAAATTGTTGCATACAAATATGATTCTTAGTAGAGATAGGCCTCTATTTCTAAAAGTGATGAGCAATGGATATAATTTTGTGTATCGATGGTTTCGATTTTTCTAATATTGAATTGAAAATATAGTGATAAGTTAATAGTCAACAAATGTAATAAATTATTACTAATTTACATTTCCCTAGAACACGTATACCAAAAACGTTATTGGCCAACAGATAATATTATTTATAACATAGTACAATACAATTTGTTAAATCTATTGGCTAGGACCGACAAACAAAATAAAACAATTTTAATTTTGATATTCCCAAACGATATAAAACAATATCGATATCAGAAATGTGTCATAGTATAGATATTGTTGTCCATTATTATTTTCTAAGAATATTTAGTAACATCGTCCAAAATCTAAAATAATTTGCATCTGTTTTAATTTTAATATCTAAAATAATTTATGGAATTGTAAATACTATAATTACCATTTTCCATATTAGAATTTATAATTACACTAAAATTGTCTGGTATAGTATTATTTTTAGAACCTTTACAAAGGTATAGGTGGTTAAAATCTTCAAAATGAGTACAAAAAACAGTATCACCAGTTCTCAGTTCAATATCTGATATGACTTCTAGTTCAGGTGAGTATATCAACTCTGTCTTGTTTTTAGTAGTACTGTGTGGTTTTTCAATAGATTCTTCTACAAATCAAAAAAAAAAAATTAATAATATTACATAGCATAACCTAATTAAAAATTATATTTATGCTGTACACAATTAAGAGTATTCAATATCGCGATTTTCTGTATTTGTCTAACACACATGTGAGAAATAGGATTTTAAACATGTTTTTTGCCAAACATACCAACTGATCTATTGAAACGATCAGAATTCTACAAACCGATTCAAACTTGTCATCAAGACTACTTGAGATCAACTTTCCCACATTTATGATATTATCCCCATTCCTAAAAACATTACGTACAAATAAATTAATTTAAAAATGTTCATGTTATAATTTTTGGAGAAGTTGAAATCAAAAAATAAAATGTGCGGGAATATTGATTTCAAGTAGACTAATGCCAAATTCAAATCTGTTTTCTGAATTCTTATCACTTTACTATATCAATCGGTATGTTTGGTAAAGAACACGCTAAAATTCTATGTCGCATGTTTGTTAGACAAAGGCAATCACAAAGAAAATCACAATATCCAATCACCTTAAATACAGTTGATTTATTGAACAGATGTAAAACAATTTCATAAGGATCAATAATACAATATTTAAGACACATTTTTTTAAAATATATTTATTTGAATTTATTTGAAAATTACGATCTATTCATAGTACAATAAGTAATAATTAGGGCTCAGATGTTTATGAAATTGCATATTTTTTTCTATTTGTTCTATTTTTTAATTTAATGCTAACCTGGATACAAATTGTATTTATATTTTACTGAATCAAATAATACTGTTTTTATTTTGCATATTTTTGCATATTTAATGGTTTTGTATTTTAATTGCATATTTTGGGATTTTAAAAACAAAATTGCTTATTTTATTACATTTTTTTAAATAAACAATTTAAATTAACGAACTACAAAATTTCAGCAGACAACACTAAATTAGAATCATCAGGACTGACTTTGTTTAAATCAATTGAAGTTGTCAATAATTTAAGAGAAACCCTCAAAATGGCTAATGGAAAAGTAGGAAAAGAAATTTACGACAAATTTCAGAACGTAATTGAAAAAAATAAAGGATTTAAGACTTTGGTACAAATTTCAAAAATACATTCCGGTGAAGTTGATACTGTGGAAGGAATTTAAGAAGATTTGAAGGTTGAGGATCTTGCATTTTTCAAATATGCTCCAATAACATTGGTTGAGGTAGAACAAAGTTTTACACGCTACAAAAACTTACTTACCGATAACAGATGCAGTTACAAATTTGAGCAAATTAAAAAATCTATAGTAGCACAGTGTAACGCTAATAATGTAATAAATAATAATTAATAATATAAATTAAAGTAAATAAAACACTATGTTAATTTAAAAAATGTATTTTAAATTCTAGTAAAAAAAATAATATATAAAAATAACTACTGGGTAATAAAAATAAAATATTTTTGTTTTATGAATTGTAATACATTTTATTGTGCACATTTTGGTGTTTTTATTGACTAAAAATGCATATTTTATAATTTTTAGAGCATATTTCGTAATTTTTTGGTACATAAATACATGCATATTACAATAGTTTAAAGTACATAAACATCCGAGCCCTAATAATAATAATACATTTACAGACAATTAATAGGAATAAGCACATGAGGAGGGAATCACACATTTGTGACCCCAAGACACACTTTATCACTTTATAAAAAAAAAAAAAAAATAGGTAACATAAATACAAATTTGTATTTTTTATGTATTTAAAGGTAATTTAATACTGTATAGCGGACATGTTATTTATGATAGAAACAATTAAATGTCAGATTATGTCAAGACATACCTTTAGTATCAATTGACTCCTCCAAAATTTTATATAATTCATCAAAAACATCAGAATTATTATTTCTTCTTAAACTAGCTTCTTTTAATCCATTTGGGTTTTCTTCGTCATATTCCTAAAATAATTAAATTTACCAATAATCATATGTTAATTTATAATTTAATAACAAAAAACTATTTTTCAATGACAGTAAAACATACAACATAGTAAATTTGAGTTCAGCAGAACCAATTTTGTGTTATGAAATTTAATTTAATAATAAATTGACCTACAATCAAATTTAAAAATAAGAACATAATATGTGTTTGTGTTTTGGTTTTTATAAGATATATTAAGTTTTGGCATGTAATGAAAATTTTATATTAGTTTTTTTACTCTTAATTCAATTAAAAGTTATAAAAATATATAATATATTCTTTTGATATTATACCAGAGTTTAATCTAATATCAAAAGCTAACAGGGTAACAACAACAAATTGGTTCTTCTCGCAAGTGTTTGCTCAACTGTGCATATTTTGTGAGAGAAAAACAACACCAAATAATATGAAAAATATTAAATTGTTTTAACTAATAGTATTTATACATTAAGTGATAAGTAGACATGTAAGGGTAAGATTTTTATTGAAGAAATATGTTCTATAGATAGAAACGTTGTGTCGATGTCACGGATAAATGATGTACAAGGCACTTCATAAACTATAATCACTGAGCACCAGCTATCATTTCAATCTTTGTCTGTCAGAGGTAACAGATAGAATTATCAATTAAGTTCATTAATACTTACAATATACAAAAGTTGACTTTCTAACTCTTCTAGATACTTTGATACTAAATCATTGGTTTTATCAACTACTAGTGAACCTTTAATACCAATTTTTATGCACAAACCAGGAATCTAAAAAATATATAAATGATAACATAAATGTATTATAACATATAATTTGAAAAAAAAATAATAGTGTTCTTATATAAAATTTAATTCCCCAAATAAAACAATATAATATTATAAAATAACAACCTTTTTCAATTCTTCGGGCAATTCATAGATTTCATCAGCATTAACTGTTTCATCATTTCCAAAATCAATAAAAGAAATATAGAAATGGTTTTCATCAATTTGCTTAAGTATTTCTGCTCTATACATACCACCTTCAAACATTGCTTTAACAATATCTCCCATTTGAATGTTTAACTTTTTACTTTTTGCTACAATGATAAAAAAAATATTAGTTTTAAAAGGAAATGAAGAACTATATACATACACTAATATGTCATTTCAACAAGTGTATGAGTTTAAATAAATCAATAAAAACACAAAAATAACATGCATTATGAAACCCAACTAAAAATAAGTTATGAAAACAAAGCCCATAATGCTGTGAACAAGACGCTAGGAGTCAGTTCTACAGAATACTGTCAAAAACTACACAAGAGAAACTGTATGAGACATGGTCCACAACACGATTGGACGAAGATAAGCTACTTACCTTTGAAAAGTATTATAAAAAATTCACAAACCTGTTAGAAACAAAATAGGGAATATGAGGTGATAAAACGATAATCTGGAAAAGTTATATAACAAGCAAAATATTAAATTTTTCTTGGAAGTGAAACAATTGAAGTGGGCTGGCCATGTTTGGCTAGCCAGCAAAAAACTTAAAATAAATGTCTTGATCAGAAACACAAAAATGATCAAGGAGAAGACATTTCCAGCAATGGTTGGATTGGATGAAAAGGGATATTTTTATACTGACAATTAAAAAAGATTTGAATTAGTGGTTTGACAAAAAATATTTAAAAAATGATTATATTATGAATTTTTAAAGTAGAATTGTTGATAATAAAATACCCAAAAGTACTATCTACAGTAAATGTCAGTAATTGAAAACAATATCTTGTTACAAAGATAACTAATTATGAAATCCCTATAATATAATAATTTGTAATTACTTTTAATTAAGACTCAAATTCTATAGCATTTGCTAATAAAATACAACGCAGATAAAAAGAACAGAGTAGTATATAAATTAAATTTGTATTATGAAATTCAAGGATTCCAAATAAAATATTTTTATGTTACACATTTTAAACAATTTTAAATTGATGGTACCATTATTTAAGTTTTTATATAATTTTTAAAAATTTTAAGTTTTTCATGAATCATAGTTTCAAGAAAGTTTCATATAATATGTCTTATAAAAAAAAACAATTACATAATTTATCTAAGTAAGAGTAAGTGGATGTCGCTCTGCTATACATTAGGTGTCTAGAAGATCGCTGAAATGGATAGTATTAAATTGGAATTCACTAATATATCATTGCATAAAAACAATTCTAAGCGGAGACGTTATGTATGTCTAGAATATTTTGTTTGGTAATTACTTATTTTAGGCGTAGGGAAATTGGCGCTCCCATCGCCCGGTACTAAAGTATCGCAATAGCCCCTTGCTGGTGGAAAGTTCCAGGCGAACGATTCCAGCAAAGAGAGGGGAGAAATCCCCCAACCCGTTGGGCCCTCCATTAATGGGGGTTTGGCGTGAGGCTAACCACCTCACACAGGAAAAAATTATGGGTTCCAGAACAACACAAAACCAAGCCTCGGATGAAAAATTATTTGGATAAGTTTAATCTCGGAACCTGGAATGTGCAATCGCTGAACAAAGCGGGCGCACTAACAGTTGTAGAAACTAATTTAGAACGATATGGAATTGCAATAGCAGCAATTCAAGAAGTTAGATGGACAGGAGAAGGAAATTTAAAATCAAAGAAACATACTATCTTTTATAGTGGTGGACAAAGACATGAGCGAGGAGTAGGATTTATTGTTAACAATGAATACTTACCATACATAAAAAGATTTGAGCCGTATAATGAAAGACTATGTTATATCCAAGTTGAATGTAAACATATGAATTTAATACTGATAAATGGCTATGCACCTACAGAAGACAAGCAACAAGACGAGAAAGAAGCTTTTTATGAAGACCTGAACACGATATTCGAATCAATTGCCAAAAGCCAACCGAAGATTATCCTTGGAGATTTCAACGCTAAAATAGGAAAAGAAGAAATGTACAGACCAACAATAGGGAAAGAAAGCCTCAATACTCATTCTAATGAAAATGGAAACAGACTAATTAACTTTGCAATCTCTAAAGGACTAAGGACAAGTAGCACGTGTTTCCCACACAAAAACATCCATAAAGAAACATGGGTCTCACCCGGAGGTAGTACCAAAAACCAAATTGATCATATCATGACAGATATGAAGATAAACAATATTATAGAAGATGTCAAGAGCCATCGTGGAGTGTCTGCTCAGTCAGATCATTTCTTAGTTAAAGCTAAAATACAAATTAAACTACCTCGTAAATGGAGAAAAAGAATAATAATAGAAGAAAAAGTTGATATAGATGACATAAAAAACTCTGAAATGTTAAAAGAATACAGAAATAAACTAAAGAACAAATTAAAGGACGGAATAGAGGCAGAAAATATTGAAACCCGTTGGAAAAAATTAGAGGGAATAATAAAAACAACTGCTTTGGAACACCTAGGAAAAAAGAAAAAAGTACAAAAGCATAAATGGTTTAACAATAAGTGTCAAAGTGCAATTGTAGAAAGGGATAAAGCGAGATCATTGATGCTTACAAACCCAAACACAGAAAACAATAACAATTTTGCCCAGAAGCTTAGAGAAGCTAAACGTAAAATAAGAAGGGAAAAACGATTATGGGAAAAGGAAAGAATAAAACAGATTGAAGACAACAGGACGAACCCGAAACTCTTCTTCAAACAAACAAAAAAATTAAAAACGGGGTATAACCCCAGAACAGAAATAATGAAAGAAGAAAATGGAGAACTTGTAACAGAAGGAGAAGAAATTGCAAAACAGTTTGGGAAAATGTTCGAGGAACTACTCAACCCACAAACGCACCAAGACCATGCACAAATTGAGTACTATACAGCAGAACCTGAAGATGTAGAACCAACGGACGACGAAGTTAGAATGATCATAAACACACTTAAAAACAATAAATCGCCAGGTGAAGATGGCTTAGCTTCAGAACTCTTAAAGTATGGTGGTGAGGAACTAATAAGAGAAGTAGGGAAATTAATCAGAGATGTATGGCATAAAGAAGAAATACCAAAAGAATGGCAACAAGCAATAATATGTCCAATTTATAAAAAGGGAGACAGATCAAGATACCAAAATTACCGAGGAATATAGTTGCTAAATACAATGTACAAAGTATTGTCAGGTCTCATACTAAACAGAATAAAACCTTACATAAAAGATATCATTGGGGACTACCAATGTGATTTTATGAGTGGTAAATCCACCATAGATCACATTTTCACTGTTAAACAACTAGTTGAGAAACACTATGAATTCGACAATGATCTACATCTACTATTCATTGACTATAAACAGGCTTATGATTCAATTAATAGAGAAAGTATTATGGGACACACTTATAACCTTTGGGATACCAGCTAAGATAGTGAAAATGATCAAATTATGTATGAATAAAACCAGATGTAAAGTTAGATTCAATCAGCATATTATATCAGATTAATTTGAAATTAAGACAGGACTTCGACAGGGAGATGCCCTATCCCCAATACTCTTTAATATAGCTTTAGAAATGGTAGTTAGAAAAACTCAAAAAAAATATGATGGGGTAAACTTGGAAGAGAACAGAAGACAATGCGGAGTACTAGCGTACGCAGATGATATTATCATATTGGGATCAGACAGTCAAGAAGTCAAAGCAGGAACCAAAGAACTAATAATAAACAGCAAAGACATTGGATTACAAATAAACGAAGGGAAAACCAAATATATGGTAATATCTAGGCGAGAAAATCACGAGGAAAATTTAGAAGTTGAGAATTATAAATTTGAAAGAGTGCAAAATTTTAAATACCTGGGTGTTACAATAAATAGCAAAAATAATAATCACGATGAAATTAAAATAAGACTAACTGCAGCAAATAAATGCTATTACGGAGTAACGAGTATACTAAAATCAAAACAGGTATCACTCAAATCAAAAATTAAAATATACAAGGTAATTATCAGACCAGTCCTTCTATATGCGTGTGAAACATGGCCAAAGACTAAAGGAGACGAAGAAAAATTAGCAAAACTCGAAAGAAGAATATTAAGAAGAATATTTGGGCCAAAAATAAATAACATGACACAACAATATGAGAAAAGAAACAATATAGAAATACAACAGTTATATAAAGAGCAAGACATAGTAGCAGTATTAAAAAATAAGAGAATGGCATGGGCCGGTCATGTGTGGAGGTCAAATGGTCTTATGAAAGAAGTTTTAAAATGGAAACCCCAGGGGAAAAGACCACTTGGCAGGCCGAAACAAAGGTGGATCGACAAAGTGGAGAAGAACTTAGCAGAGATCGGAATACGAGATGGAGAAACAATAGCACAAGACAGAGACAGATGGAAGCAAGTTTGTGTTGCGGTAATGGGCCTCAATGGCCTTTAAAAACCGAAAAAGAAAAAAAAAAAGAAAAATTACTTATTATTTATAGGAAGACGGTAAGTTGAATGAATATTATTTTAAAATTAACAGTGATGCCTGAAAAATATTATATATACTTATGTAAAATAGGACGGTTTTGGAACCAAATTATAACAAATTGACTGAAATTATTATTTTTGGTGTTGATGTGTAATTTCATCTAAGTTTGAACTTAAAATTACTATAAAAAAATTTTATTATCCGGATATATGACTTTTCGGTAGACATTTTTATTTGATAAACTTAGACAAGCTTCATATAAGGAATTTTGTATTACATTTGAAAATCTTAAATATAAAAGGAAAATTGTTCATGAATATCTGACAAAATAATTTGCTAATTTTCGTGATTTTTACATTATTATTTTATAGAGTTACATTAAAAACCAAAATCAGTTTTTGGTAAGAATTCTAGTTTTTCCTTCATTTTTTGTTTGTTTTTCCGGTCGCTTTGGAAAACTATAGGGAATTTTATACTTTTGACTCCTCAAAGTAGATTCACTTTCTGAGCAGAAAAAATGCTGTTGAAGATAAATATTTGAAGCACATTTACTGTCCCAAAAGGTGAAGCAACAAAAAAACAAAACAAACATCATTGTAAAATCAATACATTCATCGCTCAGAATCTAAAATGGTTAGTATTATTTCAATTACAAAATACTGTTTTTTTTTTATATTTGTTTATATTTTCAAGTTATAAACACTATGAAAAGGAAATAAATGGTAGAAATAGACAATAACTTGAAATTAATCTTTATGAAATTAGATGGCACCCACAAAATAACAATTTACCTTCTAGCAATTTTTGATATTTTGCTGTGATTCAAATATATTAATCGTAGAAAATTAATACTGTCTTTTAAAATAAATATTTGTGGGGATTTTTTTACATATATTGTTGTATAAGGTCTAAAAGAATGACCTGAAAAATTGAATGGGTAACTTTTGTTCTACTCAATATTTAAAAAAAAATGTGTGTATAAATTCAAACCCTTTAACTCAAAATACAATATGCAATTTTAAATTTCTGAATACTGCAATTCTTTAGGAAAATTTCATAACAGCCAGATTACAAATCTAATTTTTAGAAAAAAATGTTTGGTTTTAAAATATTTATTGAACTCTTAGTTTATTTTTTTCATTTATTTTAAATTTCAATATTTTGTGGAGTAAATTAATTTCTAAATATAATAAGTTATTTTATGGTACATTTCAATATTTATAGGTTATATTATAATTTATAATTCTTTTTAACGCTGTTCAAAATAATTATGTTGAAATTATTAGTTATTGAAACTTACATGTATCTTTAAATGTTCTTTCAGTTACATCATTAAACAGATCTTCTTCAGAACCTCGAGAAACAAATATAGAATTTGAATCATAAAAATACCTTAGACGAACTATTTCTCTATTCTTAAGGGGCACAAGCTTGACTTTGTCGTCAATAACATCTGGTGATTTTTGGTGTTCTTCAGTTTTTAATTCAACATTCTCAGCTATAAATTAAACAAACTGTATTATTTTTAAGATTTTAAATTAATTTTAAGCCATATTTTCTATTTAAGCTTAAGTTAAGGGATACAAATGACTAGATTTTTTAATCAACATTATTAGTATTACAATTAAAATTAAATCTTTATAAACATAGTGGTAGAATATTATAAGCCTACCAAAAACAAGAATGGTCATTGTATAGAGGACGGAAAATATTGGTCAGGATAAAGTTATGTCCAATGTGCATGTAATATAAATGGTATACATTTATTAAAAATATATTTGGGCAACGCCAAGCTGGACAGCTAGGTCATGGTTTTATATAATTTTATACAGAATTATTTTAGCAGTGTACTTTGAGTCTTCATCAGGTGGTTCAAGGTTAAGGTATTAATACATTAATATTGACACATTTTCAGTACACCAAAAAACTATTTGGAGTAAGCAGTTATTATACATTTTGAATCGTTTAAAATATTTAAGCATATTTAATTTAGAACACTAACCAGTACTACTATCTATTGTTTCCTTTAATGTTTCTACATTTTCTAAATTATGAACTTTGGTGACATATGTACATTTAACATCTTCAAAATGTGTTAAAGTAGAATTTTCACAATTTTTGATAGGTGTCATTCCACCAGGTAGTAATTTCAATACTTCAGTGTTTACCAAATTACCAGACTTTAATTCTTTTAGAATTATATTTTCTGAACTATCAATATTTTGTTTTTTGTTTTCCTAAAATAAAGTTTTAATTAACAAAATAGTTTAATAATAGGTTCTCAAATAATGAATTACTTACAATACATAGAACTACACTATTATCTATTAAGTTTGTGAAGAACTTTTGAATTTCATCTGTTATTTGGGCATTTGACGGAACTTCAATAGATACTGAAGTGGGTAATATAGTCTATAAGTAAAATAATTTTAATTTGATTTAAGCACATTAATATCATAATTTTTTTGATATACCTCTTTTTTCAATTCATCTGAAAGTTCAAATATATCAGCAGAATGAACTTTCTCTATATTTCCAAAATCAATATAAGAAACATAGAAATCTTTATTTTCAATATTTAAAATTTTAGCTCTATAAAAATCACCAAACGAATGTGAATACACTTTGACAATATCTCCGATGACTGGATTTATTTTTATTATACGATCTATAAGAAACAATATTTCAATAGAAGTTGTAATGAACATAGTTTTTGATATTCTTGTAATTTGATTGCATATTGATTGATAGTATATCAAGTGAATCAAGGTTACAAAATAGTATATCGAGTTAACTCGATCTACCTGATTAACCAATGGCAACCAAAAATTTTTAAAAAATACCCAGTTCTACTAAAAAATTAAGATGAGCGGAAAATTAATCATTAATTATAATAAACATGCAAATTGTATACCTATACACATATTGTGAGGCACGGACTGTTGAACAAACACTTAGCAAAAAAATCAATATAAAATTTTTCATTTATCTTCCGATTGATTACACTGTGAAATTGGCACAAAGAAATGATATATTAACTGTTTTAAATCATAGATAGAAGATAGATGAAATGATAAGCGATAAGCGTAATGCCTCGACTAAGGGAAATAGGGATTTATTTTTATATACATAGATAAATAAAGATAGATTGTAGAATTTTACTTCTCAAAACAATTCATGTCTACATGCTGATCAAACACATAGTTGGACAGACAAAAAGTTATTGTTGCATGTTTCTATGGAAACCCGCAGGTCTCCGTGCTGTAAAATATGTTTATAGACATACAATTTGTCCGTAAACAATTTATTTTTGTTGATTTCAACCCTTTAAAATCAACATTTTGAAAAATCCTTTCTTAGTAGAACTAGACATTATAATATTAATCCATCCTCAACATTTCAATTTGATAACTCAAATAGGTTTGGCTCTACGTTGATTATTGCTAAAGTAACTTTTCTTTATATATAGATTATATTAATTTTAAAAATAAATTAAATTTTTGATACAATGTACGAATTTTCATAACTGACCTTCACTTTCCAAAGTCTTCAAAATAATAGGCGTATTATGCATTTCATAACCATCAATTACACAACTTTTTACAGCTTTACATAAAAAAATATTTTTAAAATCTTTGAAATAAGAAACAAGACAATAATCTCCACTTCTCAATTTAATGGTTTGGAAGTCATTGATTAAACTTGCATTTGATTTAATTATTGTGTCATTATTTTCACAGTTGTTTGAAATTTCTGTTAATAAGAAATATTAATCCTAAGGTATTTTTGAAATACTAAAAATAACAATTGTCTTACCATTACAAATTAATTGATTTGTATTTAATTTTAAAAACTCCTCAAAAATATTTTCTGAGTTGTCTTTTCTTCTTAAAGTAATTTCTTGATATCTACTGGGATTTCTTTCATCAAATTCCTAAAATACACAAATTAAATTATTGTTCATTTATCTTTCCAAAAACCTAAGTCTAATATTTATTTTTATTTTTAGATATTGTGCACAAAAAAAAAAATGGGAAACTGCTGTAGTAACCGTGTGGTTGGTCACTGTGGTCGATTTCAGATTTAAATGAGTTAGAATATTACTTAACAAAAAAGTTCTCAAGCAAAAGTTATCTGTGACGTGACAAATCTATGAGTAGAATTGAGCCTGTAGGAAATTTTAAAATAGCAAGAAATATTCATTTATAATTAAGTTTTGTTTTTTATGATTTTACATTGAGATAATTTCCATACATTTTATAAAGTGAAACAATTTAAATTATAGCATTTTCAATCAAATTTTGATTTTTTCATAGTATTTAATAAAAAAAAAAAATGTACACTAATATATTAATATCTGTAGGAATATCAAAATTATGAATAATATACCCAATAAAATAGAAAAACCCATTAATTTGACAAAAAGACAAAAAGATGCAAAATTAAACTTCACATACTTAATAATGATCCCTCTTTAAATGGATTTCTATGTTGATATGTATTTACATATAACTCACGAGTTACAAGACCTGGTTACTATTAATCTATAATATATATATATTCTTTTATATATTATATAAAACATGCATTAACTTTATGCACATGTAATGATCATAAATTTTAATTGTTTTGTAACTATTAATAATTTACTATTATGATATATTTCAGCAGTATTTGAACTGAGAGTTGTTAATCCAGGAGTTATAAACCTCTTATAATAAATAAACTTACATTAATATTATAACCATTATTTTTTTAGCAATTATAAATTAAAGAGCTGTCAAAATGTTATGAAGACACACGGAACCATAGAATAAATAAATTTCAATACCTCTGATTTATTGTTATACATTTCTACCAAAGTTTAAGTAATTTCAATAATAAATAAATATTATAAGAGCTTTTACTGAGAAAACAAATTGTAATAGTGTAATCACTTCTGTAGTCACGTGTGGTGACAACAGGCCCTGTATTCATGAAGATTAAAAAAAATTGTGCACATTAAATGCATCACTTTAATATAAATCAGATATACTTTTACACTAAAATAATAAAAAATATATATTTCATTTATGTTCCATCACAATCACAATAATAAAATGATAATGATTAATAAGTAATAACTCATGAATATCCATTAGTGTTTCGCATACCTAACAATATGACTTGAAACTTACCAAGTACAATGGAGTTTTTTCAACATTTTGAATAAAAACTTTCAAGTCATGTGTCTTCTTAACAAAAGGTCCTTTAATTCCAATCTTAATGGCTAATCCAGGAATCTACCAAAACAAGCATATTAATTAATTAATAATATTAATCTTTATATAATAAAGATTAGATTTGACAAAAGTGTTGCCGCATAGTGTTCTTAGTCTACAATTTTTAAAAACACAGTGAAGTTAATGATAAAATTATATTAAATATAATAAAAATTAAATAAATTTTTATATCATAAATTTAAAAAATGTATTCTAGACAACAAATAATAAGAGAAAATCAAAAATATTTAATACAACTAATTATTCATAGAAACTAACAGTGCATTTGAAGTGAAACATTAAACCGTAGGCTAACCTTCTTTTTTGTCCTCTGCTTCCAACTAAATGGGTTTGACCATCCTCGCCCCACACATCATAGAGCCTTTTCAATACCCACACCAAATATTTTTGTGGCATTCTCTATTCTGTCTATTCATCTGTTCTTTGGTCTTACTATCCCTTTTTTTCCTTTCACATTAATTTACAGCCACTCTCAGCATCTCGTAAGTGACCTTTTCTCATAACATGACTAAACCATCTCAACTTATTCTGCCTCATTTTGCTACAATTTATTCCACACACAACACTTCTCCCCTGATTAATTAATTCCTTATTATATAACCTCACTATCTGCCTTTCTATTAAACCATAATAATTAGCCACACAGAAAAAATCAAAACATAATTTATAATATAGTTAATGATATCTTACAAAATCCCATCTACAATAAGTAACGAATGGCCCATGAACATTAAAAATCTACATGCACAGAAAATTTTGCAATTGTAGCAAACAAAAAAAATCTAAGAACAATTTACCTCGGCAATCTTTAAACTAAACCATTGATAAAATAAAATAAAATACTTTAGTATCTCAAAAAGATTATTATAAATATATAAAAAAACAACAATAATTAAATCTATAAAAAAGTAAAAATGGCCAAAATATTGACCAAAAACTCTATGAATAAATCTGAAAGTTGATACAAAATTGCACATACACATATTCATATACTTTATAGAAATGTAAAATATATTAATATCTAACCTTAAATTCATCTGACAGTTCACAAACAGAACTTTTCTCCACAAATTCACAATATCCAAAATCAATATTTTGAACATATATTAAATTAGTATCAATATTTTGAATTTTGGCACGGTATTGAGATCTTTCGAGTACAATTTTAACGATATCTCCTACGTTAAACTTTTTTTTACATACAGCAGCTAAAAGTACAAAACATAGTAACCACATTTATTCTTAAAAATATTATTTGTGTCGAAAATAAACTCACTCTTGTCTACAAGAAATTTTAACATCATATCATTTGATAATTGTACATCCTTCAAAATATACACATTTTGCATGTCTTCGAAATGTCTTAAAAAAACGATATCATTATTTTTTAAATCACTGAGGTGGTTAATATTGTTCTGAATTATTGGAGTATTTTTATCAATTGGAACAGGCTCATATTCTGATTCATAAAACGATAACAATTTTAATACTATTACTTATTCAATAAATAAAATGAAAAATAGATACTAGATATAACTATAATAACTATCATAATAATAAGTAATATTACCGGATTGTATTGACGTAAATTTCATTAAATATTTAGAATTGACATATAATTCACTCTCTATATCTATTAATTTCACATTGTCTAAAGAATTTTTAGAGTTTTCATCAAACTCCTAAAAAATAATATATATATATATACATTAAAACATTTTAATTTCAAAATTATAAAGAGCATAAATATATTCTATATACCTAATACTGTTTATAAAACAATATTTATTATCTTACAAGTTTTAAATAATAATAATAAAATTGTGTGGCATTAATCAATGTTATTGTTTAATATTAACATATTAAATGGATAGATAATTAAAATTATCGCTCCATTTAACTCACAGAATAAATTATATTTTCTTATTTGTTGATTAATTACAATTATAGAATTATAAAGAATAAGTATATTATACATTACGTACAATCAAAAATGGCTTTCCAAAATTACAAAATGTTAGAAACAATTTTTTAATTTCTTCGGTAGTTTGAATATTTTTTAAATCACTGAGTCCTATTTTAACAGCTATTCCTGGCTGAAATCATACAAATAAAAGTATACAAAAATATAGATTAGACTATTCCTGTAGAAATAATAATTGTTTTTATTATTATGTAAAAAATAAATAAATAGATAAATCAAAAGTTTAAGGAAAAATACCTTCTTCAATTCATCAGCCAATTCATAAATAACATTTGATTGAACTGTTTCAATGTTTCCATAATCAATGTAGAAAACATCATAACTGCCATTATTATTTTTTAATATTTTTGCTCTATACAAACCATCATTTTCAGTTGAATAAACCTTGACAATGTCTCCCACAACAGGATAATTCTTTAATATTTTATCTAGGAAATAAAAAAATACATATATATATAAATAAAAAATGTATTAAATAATAATTGTGAATATCAATATAAGATACTTGGTTGTCTCTAACTATCATTGCTATATGATTATCAAATTAGTTAGTTTGACTACAATTTTCATTTATTTTCATTTAATTTAATATATATTTAAATACTAATTTATCAGATTGAAATTACAATATTATGTTGAATTAACTACAAAAGTAAATCATGTAAAAAATAAATTTAAAAATATAATTTTATGTTAACATACAAAAAAATAATGAAAATAAGACTTTTTTTAACCAATTTTTTTTTTCATAATTTTTATTTTATAGGGTATATTCTTACAAAATAAGAGCATAAATACATATTTTATAGTGCATATTTCTAAGGTTTTTAGAGGATATAAATCCGGGCCCTACCTATCAGTATTTTTTTCGAAACATTTTATCATAATTGATTGGTGTTTTTAACTGTATGCATTCAACAGATACTTGCTAAGACAGAAAAAGATGCTATAACATTGTTACAAAATATAGAATTTAAGAATATGTAAATAGTCGATATAGCAATTACCATAATGTTGAATAACAAAAATAAAGATGTGAAAAATGAAATAGTAATTTAGTTAATACTAAGTTAAATGAAAGTATGAAACTATCTTTAGGTTAATATTTGGATGGACTAAAGAACCAACATTTGAGAAATAGTGTAGCAAAAAACCTAGTAAAACCTACTTAAACAATAGACTTTTATCAAATTATAAATGTTAAAACTTAAAATATGTGGGTCAATAGAACACAAATCATCAATATCCTAAGAAGTCTTAGATGATTAAATTATAAGACAAAAAAATTCAAAGTAGTCTAAAGAATAAGTACCAAAAATATAACAAAACTCAATTATTTTTAATTTACAAATTTCTTAAAAGATTTTAAAAACTTTGCTTAAATGATTTGAACGTAAGAAATATAAATTTAATGTAACCTGTACTAATAGCAGTTTTGTGTAAAGTGTCAAAATCAACGAAATCATAACTGCCATCATTGTCACTTTTTATAGCTTTGCCAACATACAAACAAGTCAAATCTTCAAAATAAGTCATAATGCAATAATCTTTATTTTTTAACGGCACATTGTTAAGTTTTTCTTCATTAAAAAAGCTACCTTTTCTGGAACTACTAGATAGATATAAGCTGTAAATATAAATTTTTCTATGAACATGTTAATATCAAATAATCATAAGATAGAAAAAAAATGTATTTACCTCGTTTCGTTATTATCATGACCATTGGTTACATTATTTTGTTCCCTTATTATTTTTGAACCATTAGCGAAGTTATTGCTAGAACATATTTAAAAATAAATAAACTACAGAAATCAAAAGATATTAAGTAAAATTTAAATAACTAATGGCTCTTGCTGCCGAATTGTATTAACAGATTAATAAAAATAAAAATAAACTTAAAATGAGTTATAAATCAAGAGCATATTAATTAAGTGCAGCCATAAGATAAAAAAAATTTTTACCTTAATTCATTATTATTATGACCATTGGTTATATTATTTTGAACACTTATCACTTTACCAAAGTTAATGCTAAAACAAATTTAAAAATAAAAAAATAACAGAAACTAGTAATTACAATAGGTATTATGTCAAATGAAAATGAGTTGTAAGCCCTAGATCTTTTAGAGCAATGATGCTTTTTTTTTCAGTGGGCAAAATTCATAAAATGTTGAATTTTATCACCAATTACAAACATTTATAAGATACATAGAATCTATTTTTGACACATTGTTTCAACCTAAATTTTGGTTGCAGACAACAGGCTTTATTGCAGTAAACTTCTACAACATATAGAATATATAATATATATGCAAACAATATTAAAATTAAGGTTAATAACGGAAGTGCCTACAGATCATTATTAATTCAATTATTGTAAAGAGAAAACATTGAATTAGGTATTCCATTAAAATGAATATCACAAGACATAGAGAACAAGAACAACATACCATTTTAAATATGTATAAAGCATTATACAAATGGAATTCAAAATAAAGATTTTTATAGGTAATATTAAATTTTAACTATTCATTGCTAATAATATTTAAATATACATCAACTAAATAATATAAAAATTAATAACTTACTCTTTTTTTGATTCTAATAATTGATCTTCATTAACGCCATTTCCTAACTTTGTATCTTTAACATCAACAAGAACAGCACCTTCGTGTAGATTCTAAGAACAAATAAATAATAATAACAATAATAATAAAATATACAAAAAATAATACTATGAAAAAAAATTAATAAAAATAATATTAGGTATAAGTTATAACTCAATAATAATTACACTTTCTGACAGAAGGGGTTTTATAGAAAATATGGTTTTTTTCGGAATAAAATCTTTGAATATGACTGGTAAAGCCTAGAATACAATAGATGTTACACATTAATTTAATTTAATTTAAGCTTTTAAAATATAAATAAATTGTACTTACTAATGGTCCATACATAAAATAATATGGAAGGACAAACAGATTTTCCAACTTAGTTTGATAAAAAGAGCCATAATCAACTAATTCAATTCTGGTATTATCGGTTTGAAATTCATTGAAACTAATTAATTTCCCTCTGAACCTAAATAAACACAGTACATAGTTTATGAAAACGCGATGCATGTTGTATACAGTAGAATTTAAATAGAGTATTTCTTAATTTTATATCAAATAAATTACCATTTGCCTTCTATTTTAACAGCAACTATTTCTAATACTTTAAATTGAGTAACTTTATCATATGAGCTACTCTGTAATGAAATTGATTGCATGTCTTTCTCACGCTTTTCCATTTTATCTTTAGTTGTCACAATGTATACATTTTTTAAATCACTTGGAAGCAAAACAACCTATTAAAATAAAATAAATATTTTAATCTTTAAAAAAAATGATACTAATCGGGTAGGTGGTAGAAGTTGGTTTATAAATTTTATTCGATCTACTTAAAAAAAAGAACAATCAGAACAATTCATGGTTAATAATATAAAATAAAATAAATAAAAATAATAGGCAGCTTAGACAGACTGCAGAAGTTTCCCAGCAGAGGTACTACGACTTGGTAAAGAATTTTGTTAGGCTAGCAGGTCACGATACCACTGTCTTTTGAGTCATTTAATCGTGTTTCCTGGGATAGAAGCAGATGATAGATCATAGATTAGAAGATTCCTATGATGTGACTATTGAGTGAGACTATTGAAACGTTTGTAATAGGTGTTTGCTAGTTTAGAGACCAATGTTATTTTGAAATCAGAATGGAGGGTGTGGTTAGAAACATAGAATGGCATTTTTAGAATTGTACGTAGGGTTTTAGATTGGAATCTTTGAATGCAGTTGATGTTGGAAGTTTTGGCAGCGCCCCATAGTTGGATCCCATAAGTCCAAATGGACCTGAGGAGTTTGTAGAGTAGGAGCTTATTGGAGAACTTCATGTGCTTAGATGTTAGAAGTATTCAAAGGAGTTGAAAGAGGTCATTGCCACAAGTATATTTCTAATCTGGTGCCACACACCGAGTATCTACGGATAACATAGGTAAGCGGGACTATAAAAGTATACGAAAAAACACAGAAAACGAAAAGCCGACTGAAAAGAATTATTTGTTAATATGTTCTGAATGCCTGATAAATAATAAAGCAGTTCTTCTATGGCTGAATTATTAAAAGAGTGTATTTTAAAAATGCACTACGACAATCACGGATCGGCAGTGGCCAAAAAGGTCCTACTAACAATACCGATCCATGATCGGCAGCGGAGGCGAACGTGTTAATTGTACGGGTTTTGTAATTAGGTGAGGTTTCCAGGTGAGACGACGGTCAATAAAGATGCCAAGGTATTGTATACACTGGGCAGGAGAAAGCGGTTGATTATTGAGATAAGTTGTAGGACATATTCCAAGACGAAGTGCAAAGGTACCGCGGGTGGATTTGGTTTCATTAATTTTTACTCCTATCATTTTTGGGGGGAGGAGAGAATAATTAATAACAATTTACTGGCCCATTAAAAATGATATGTTTGCCTTCTCAATATTTTTTCTAGGAGGGATAAATACCCCCTCGTGCTCCACCACTGGTAAGTATGATTTTACTGATGATCTGTTCAGTTTGAGGCATTCATGTGCTATGTTTCTCATGTTGTTTTATTGTTTTCATATTTATTTCATGTTATATAAATGTAACATATCAATGTAATACATATACAAGCACAGACTAGTAAAAAAGAGCATAGGATGCTTCATAATTTTAAGGCAAATAACGATAAAATGACAGATTTAAAAAAATTTAACAAATGATTTTTCACCATCTTATTTAGGAGAATTATTAAGCAGTTCATGAAACTGTTCCTGTGGGTCTCAGAATTAATTATGGCATAAACCAGAGCACAAATATTACATTAATAATAAAGTAAATAAATAAAAGACCTGTTTAAACAGATTAACTTATTGGCTACTATCCATATATTGGTTATGATTATTATAGTTCATTTACAAATAACAAATCTATGATTTTATCAGAAACGCACACCAAGATATAATTGGATACACAGTAAGACGCTCATCAAGAGACTTTCTCGCATAAGACACTATTTTCCATTGGTCCCTAGACATTTCCTCCACTAGTCAGTGTAAAAATCACCAGTTCACATGCTTGGTTTCATCCATCTAATTGAATAAGATGTTCTTTGGTTCAGCAGATAACAATAAATTTTAGTAGTAGTGTGAAAATAAAAATAAAAATTGTACTCATTTAGGTACATGTACTTACTGTTCTACTTTATCGCTATACCTGTTTTATCATTACATATTAGAACAGTTTGTTAGAAGTGTACAATAATTATTTCGTTATGACTAAAGGGCTAAAACGTAAAGAGCTACCTATCAATTTCTGACAAATTCTAAATTTTAAAGAAATACAATGAAGGTTTGAAGGAGAAAAAAATTACAAGATATTGCTAATGAACTGGGGATATCTTCTCCCACTTTAAGAACTTTGTTGACAAATAGACAAGACATTGGACAAAGAGGGTTGGTATGTGAGAGCAAACGACCAAGTAAGATATGGGAAGTATGAAGAGTTTGAAAATGTTTCATTGGAGTCATTTAAACTATCCACTAAATGGTGGTATCACAGAAACGGCTATGGAGATTACCACACATCTCAACATTATCGAATTTAATGGATCAACTAGTTGGCATACGACACATGTTTAACATCATGCATTGATTTTAAACATATGGCTATTTAATCTTCAGTATTATTTTAATACTTAGAGGTAATAGAATAGTTTATTAATATTATAAATCATTGTTACATAGTAGTAGGTAAAATAAAGAAGACACCTATAATTGTAACAACAGATAGTTTTATTATTTAAAACCAGTGCAGAGTACAATAACGGAATTGGTGTTTCCAAGTGTCACCAACAGCCACTGGAGTATGATAAGTGATAACCAATGACTCAATTTTAAATAAAATCAGGTACGGAAGACCACTAGATGTACATATTTGAGCCCTTGTTGTGCCAAGTTATCTGACAAGTGTATATGATTTCCCTTACATGAATACAGACTCAAGGAATGTATATTTGTTAAAAAAACAGACAATAAAACATTCAACATTGAATATTTTTCTATTAAATAAAACAATAACAGCTGATGGGAAAAAATACTAATATATTTTATTTTTAATTAGCATATATACAATCTGTAAATTAATTTACTAATATATTTTAAAAAATTTTATATATATTTGGAAAAATGTTATTTTATGTTTGTTATTAAGTGCCTATATTATAGAAGGAAATATATGAAATATGGTTCTTCAGTTGTTGGGGCTAACTGCACACGCACCCATTACACTTGGATAAATTAAGGTCTGCAGGCCACCACAATCTAAAAACTAAGCAAGCATGTAGGTCTACTATTAAATTTTTGGAACTATCCGTGTACAACAATAATAATGATTACACAGCAGTAAAATTTGAAAATAAATATAATAATAACAATAATCAACAAAAATATAACAATTAAAATCCTCAATATTAACTATAAAAAAAAACCACAACTATTATAACTTGTGAACATACCTCGGTCCACGTGTTCAAAGGCAAGAACTCCAATACTTGTTTGGATGAAAGAGGGCTCAAAACCATTATTATGCAAGAGTATATTAATAAATATCAAAAAGAAAAAGAAAAAAGTCTACAATAATTGTTAAGTTGGATCACTCAAAAATCCAGAATGACAAGAGATGCAAAGACGGCCAACCGGCGACGGATCAGTTGTTACTTGCAGTCACTCGTTGACTCGTGGGACGTCAAACACAAAATGTCAATTAATGATACACAACTATTTTAGTTAGGCCTGCACGCCGTTAGTCGTTACTCGTTACGGCTGGTCGCTATAATCGCGCATTCTGCACCTAAAATAAAGATAACCCTGAAAATTGAAAACCACAGTTGACCAATTACCGTAAACCACGGTTGGCGGATTAAGATTTTATGTGCCCACTGTCGGAAACAAATAAACATTTAAACGTTGAATCGGAAATGTTTCGAAAGCAAAATGCTTTAAATCGTTATCAGTAATGTAACCGCTAATAAGAACGGCGGGCTATACAAGACGACGTGGTGGCCGTCTGTCGCATTCCGTAGTCATAAAAACCAAGAACTAAACAACTACATGGTAGGACACTATGACCAGAGATTATTTAATCTATTCTGTGGTATGATCGCCAAAGTCTAGATTTGCTTCAAGTCCGCGCAATACGTCACTTGCTTGCCCGTATTATCATTATCGTCATTAAATTATTACTACTATAAACTTCGCTACGTCATGTGTTTTCCGAAGGATCTGACCGTCAAAAGGTTACGATCATACCTTGTTGTGTATACCATGACACTTAGATCATATACTAATATAATATGATCTAAGCATTCTAAGCCATGACAGTAATGTTGTTCTAGAGCCACAGACCGTAAATCAGACCGTGATAACTGATAACAACAACGTTGTCGCCCGTGGTTGTCGCCTCCATAGACAATAAAGGTTAAGTTAGGTTAGGTTAGGACTTGTTGTATACTGTAGTTATCAATCAACCTTGGTTACGTGTGTTCAAGGACCTTGGCTTGTGTTTTGGTCCGATCGAAACACAATTTAAGATATTCTAGAAATTCGATGAGCTAAACCGGTGTGAAGAATTGGAATCTAGGAAGTCTCCTCCCTGAACTGTACCAAATATTAAACAATAATAATATACAATGCAAATCAATAAATGTACAAATAATTGTATAATTCATTAATACGTCATAACACTATTGTCATTTCAAAATTCACTAACATAAATATACAAAATATTAAACAATTTACAAATAACAAATGAAAATAAATAAATGTACTGTTTACGAGATTGTCTATTAAATAATATTATACAAATTGTTAAATTAATATTATATAATCAATATTACATTCAATAGGTAATACTTTCGCCGTTTCACATAACCTTTGGTTATATTGGGTAATAAATCCATAACGTGAAAGCAGGACCGTAGCTGGGCACTGGCGAGAGGGCATTTGCCAGAGAGGCAATTATACGAAAGGCGCAATTTCATCGAGAAGCATCCTCAATTCAAATATTATGACAATTTACAAAAATAAAAATCTGTCGTTTGTTTTTGCGACACGCTTCTTGTCATGCAATCGCATACTAGAACCCAAGCTAGGATGTTAATTTATATAAGGCCGTTGGAAACCGTGCCTTGACATATTATTATCCAATTATGTACATATTATTATATACGTCGAAGCATTGCATTTCCATGTTGATGTCACATGACTGTCATGACTAATAACAATATAGTGATTAAAAACAGACAACAAAATATATTTGTTTTGTATACTAACCAATGTCAATGTGTAAAATCATTTAAAACTAATAGACGTTACAAACTAATAATAACCTTTTCACTTTTAGAAACGTACAAATTTAATTATGTTTTTCTCTTTATCGACTTACATTACGACGTCAACACCACCACCACTTACAACATGATCTACTGATTGCAAAAATATCCTCATTAGTTGATCGTACTTGCTCGGGTTCCTCTTTTCTTTGTAGCACGATCGATTTAGGTCTACTATAATCTACCGTGCTTTGTAGTGAGCAATTGAAGTTTTAAAAACCTTGTTTATAGGCAATATTGTATTAAATTATTATTATTACCTATTTTAATAGCTTTAATTCTATAAAATATTATACCTAATGATATCCACGAATATATGTGTGAATATTTAAATAGTTGATAATTAAAAATAAATAACTATAAATAGTAAAATATTTTTTTTTTTTTTTATAAATGTTTTATTCAATCTGTTACAAAAAGAACAATAAGAACAATTGATGAAATTGAAAAGTAGAAAAAAAATAAAAATAAAATAACAATCTAGATATAAGTATATAACAGAGCGTAGGAGCCTCCCAGTGGAGGTACTACATTAACAGAAAAAAAAAGACATGAGTATTAAAATTTAATATTATTCAGTAGGCTTCTACGCCATTTGCGTTTTAGCCGTTTGGGAGGATTACCTGGGATAGTCAAGGAAGAGATGTCGTGCATGAGTGGGTTTCTATGATTTAAAAGACGGTTATGGAATCTTTCGTAGTGTGTTTTAGCCACGTCTGCTACAAGTATAATAGTAAAATATAAATTGTTTTACATTGACTTATTCATGTATATAATATTATCTCAGCTAATACTATTATTGTGCCCATGAGGTACATATTGTGTATAAAATAATAAAAATAAAAAATAAAATAAAAACATTGACTTATATTTAAGTTAAATAAAAATTTTAAATAAATAGAACGATAAAATATCAATATTTCATATTATTTTCCTTATTCTAGAAAGTCAAGATTACTGATTGAAGTTAAATTTAAAAAAAATTATTATTAATTAATAATAAATCATAAGATTAAAATTTAATAAAATAAAAAGATACATTTATTATAGCATTTTTTTCTTAGTTTGTTAGTATTATTTAATTATAATACATTATACTAAAGCAATTTTTATTAATAATAATAAAATAAAGATATACTTGTGCTACAATCAACAGATCATTTTCTTTAAAAAAATAATGTTCATTTTATAGCGGTAGACAAAAAAAATTGAATGAGGTGGACGCAATTTGGTTTTCTACCAGGGGCGGACAAGGCTTTTGCTAATTCACTACGTGTATGCCGAATGCCGATAGTCAATAGATGCAGATATGATGATCGTATATTTCAGGTAAAACCGAAAAATACCAATTTTTCAACCTATTATAATGTGTAAAATAATATATGCGTTGATTCATTCAGGGAGAAAACGTCCAGTAACACTAAAATCCTAAGCCCCCCGCCGTCCATTTACCAAAAATAACGCACCGGGATGTTTGGACCATTATATTAGTGGCGTATACTCACTTTTCTAGTTTTCTTTTTTACGAATACCCTCTAAATAAACGACGGCCGTATATAGCCGTATATATCTATCAGAATTTTCGATGACGATAACAAAATGTTCAACAATCAAGATTTTCAAGAAAGAATTTGGAGTGTATCGGTACGTATCGGGTCAATTTTGAGCGTTCAAGATGTTACACGTGCAATATACAAGCGATACGTACTGACCCGTATCGGACTCGGACTCCGATACGAGGTGGTACGTAACTATTTCGTATCGATACGTATCGTTTTTTTCTTCTTGAAAATCTTGAATTATTCGTGATTTTCATGTTTCAAATAGAATTTCACCACGATTAATTATAGAGAGTATTATCTTTTATCGTGGTATTTACTATTTAGTAGGTAGGTACATGATATTATTAGCTGATTATCAAAAGATATTTTGAGAACCAATATTCACAGTTACAGATAGTATATTATACCAATATAAATATATATTATGTTATACCTATGTCTCGTTATAAAATGCTTGTAAATTTAAAATAAGTATAAATGGATAATTGTACATCTAAGTGTGTGGCTATGTGGGTATGACATATATGCAGTCATGCAGGTATAACTGTAAAATGTATACATAATATTAATTATTAGTATTAGTACATATTATTATAATATTATATAGGTATATAAATTGTATTAAATTATATTCTGAATCGTTTATTTATAACAATGTTTATTAAAATTAATGTTGTCATAATATGTGATTGTGATTTGTGGGTATCAAAATACAATTCACAACATTTGGGATAAGCTACCTACCTACTCGACATGTTTAGACGTTTAGTGCATATTTGGAAATTTTAGTTTTTAAGGTCATAATATATTTTATTTTAAGAGTGTATTTTAAAAAGAAAAAAAAATATATATATGTATGTTATATAAATTAATGTATAACTTCACTTAAAAGTGTCATCACTCATCACTGGGTGGCTGCTTTTATCAAGCGTATTCATGTCATATTTTTTTGTATTTTAGCTAATACTCTTATTATACCCCCTGAGGTACAGATTGTGTGCACAACACTAAAGGGAAAAAAAGTGTATTTAAAAAAAAAAGTTGTGTGGTTTCATTGTTTTTCATTCAATTTGGTGTTGAAAAATACTTATATAGGTCTACTTTGATACTTAAAATAATTGTCTATCTGTTACACTTTGTATACTGTACAGAAATGTAGAATGGAGGAAAATAGACTGCACATAATAAATACTATCAGTGGCGTAGACAGTGTTGGGGGGGGGTCCAATAACTAATAAGTGTATTATTTATGTACAAAAATTGTAAAAACTTAGTTTAATTTATACTTAACCCCTACCCCATTTCAAATCCTGGCCATGCCAGTATGCCACTGTATACCATGAAGGCTATAATTCTGGTGAAAACATGCTATCAGTGATGTAAAGAACTTAACATTTTTGAAAGGCGGGTTTAATATTTCACCGACCCTGCAGCACCATAGCACCAATAATCCAATGAAGACTATGACGTGGAATTTACTGTAATATTTGTAAAACTATCAGTCATAGTTATTACTAAAATGGTACTATACGTCTAAACTACTATAGGTAGTTAAAAGGTACTAAATTATGACCTATTCACTATTGGCTATTTTTAAAATGTACAAACAATTAACTATTTTGAAATGCTCATAACTCGCTTAAAATTAAAATATAAAAAATAACCAATGATATTATAATCATAATATTCTTACTTCTAAATTTGTTAATAGTAATTGTTTCACTCTAAAATTAAACATATAACAAAGTAAATGAATTAGGTATTCAAAACATAACATTTTCTATATTATGTGTTTGGCATCCTCTTAATATTACCTATTTATAAAATTGAGCTTATCAACTTATAATGACTTTCATTTGGTAGTATTGTAGTAGTTAAAACATCAGGTAATTGTTTTAATCAGGAATGCTGAAAGTATTAACTTGTATTAATAATTTAATTTTTAATTTTAATACATAACTATTTTTTATTATCCAGCGTTATACTAAGAATGGTTAGTTAATAAGAATATAATAAGAATATTTTAAGCAAACATTATTCTAAACAATAAAATAGAAGTGTGACATAAAATAATCTTCAAATTATTGAATGAGAAAAACAAAAAAATAGTTGGTTGATATTCAAAATAAAATACAAATTATGATAATTAAAAGATATAGGTAGGTATAAAAAATGTAAAAATATAAAAAAAA